ATTGTTGGGCCACTTGAGTGACACTTCACATTGATTTCAACCCTTTTAAAGATTCCGCTCCCAGATGCACCAGCCCATCAGTTCTTCCGCAAGGATTCAAGAGTTTGCAGCAGTCAGGAAAAGGAAAAAGGAAAAAGCCCAATACACAGGCAACTTTAATGAGGGCAGACCTTGAGCTTAATTTGTGCCAGGGACCAGCCCTCAACCTTCAATGAATCTCAAGCCTGAGTTCTGGAATATGGGGAACAATAGCAAAGACCACTTATTCTCAACATATGCAGAGTTCCTCCCCTTGTACAGCCTGATTGCACAGAATTCCTGAAGATGTTTTAGCAAAGGCTACGTAAGAAGGAATGCAGTGGTACCTCTGGTTGTGAACAGCATCCGTTCCAGAGCCCCATTCGCAACATGAGCAGAATGCAACCCGTGTCAGCGTGTGCGCGGGTCGTGATTCGCCACTTCTGCACATGCATGTGATATCATTTTGCGCGTCTGTGCATGCGCGAGCGGCGAAACCCAGAAGTAAGCCTTTCCAGTACTTCCGGGTCGCCCCAGGATGCAACCTGAAAAGATTTAACCTGAAGCAAACGTAACAAGAGGTATGACTGTACTGAGTGTGTCTATCGCAAAACTGAAGTGTTCAAAGTGCAGCACATGCATTAACTTAGTTCTAATAAGCTGGGCCAATACTGTAATCTCTGTAATGTGGATCAGAATACTGGCTTGTTGTTAGCTTCCACCTGTCTCAAGACACAATGGAGTGCACCTCCTGGGGTGAGATCAAACTGCTGCATTAGCAGCACCTAGGTTGGGCAGTGTGTGTGGAGGTCCTTGGCTGCCCAGATGACAAGACCCCCCTCTCAGCCTCGCTGGTGTGGTCCAAAGGAAAACAGAGCAAGACGTTTGGCACCAGCTTGGCTGCAGAAGTTGCCAGAAGGAGGCGTACAAGACGCCATCCAACTGTCTTAGGGAATTCACTCTGGATTTGTCTAGCGTTTACTCCTTAGCCTTTTCTTCTCCCAAATATATCCCACAAGGCAGCGGAGGTTTGGAGCAGAGTTTGATGAACCACATCTGCCCCTCACTTCCCTCTACACACGAGCGAAACTGCCTTCTTGACTGTTGAACCCATTATTGGTCTCATCTGCTCAATCCACCGCAGCCTGTTTTCACATACAGGGGAAGTCCAAATACTATTAGTACAGTAAGGTCTTCCTGGATCACAGTTACCCCAGCTCTGGCAAAGAGCTTGTGGTAGGTGCTAGATTTGCACTCGGGACAATCGCATTAGAGGAAAGATAAGGGCCAGGCTTTTTTTCAGCCAGAACTTGCTGGAACTCATTTCCGGCCACTCTCAGGTGGGTGCCATTGCCATCATAAGAGAACAAGGGAGGCGTTTGTGGTGAGTTCTGGCATCTCTTTTTCTAGAAAAATAGCACTGAATGAGGGAGAAATGTGTTCCGTTCATGCGAGCCTACCTAAGCTGACTTAAAGGCTGCCGTTGTCTGAAATTTGCATTTTGCGATAAAGTTGTTATACCAAAAGATGCATACAGATATGTGTGTCCTTGCACACCCTAGCAAAGAGATGTCCTTTATTTGCTGTTGTAATCACAGGTTTGCCATGAGGCAGCTCCTTAGATTAGCACTGGTGCAGGAAACTTGAAAAGCATGGGCATATGTACATGTGCAAATGCTTCTTTCAATACATGGGTGCATTCTCCTGAGAACACATCTAGGACCCCCAGACCAGCGTACTGCAATATGCAAAGTTACATCAGATACCTCCATATGAGGTCCACGCTGATATTTCTCACAAGGATCATGATGTGTAGAGCTGCCCTTAGGTGCACACTTTTACACATCTAATTTGTACATCGGCTGCCTCCTTGCTTTTACCAAAGGTGTCATGGGCTTTGAAGACACTCAAACTCAGGACGCAAGGGAGAAACATGCTAAGAGGAAGACACACTTGGCAAATCCACACCGTGATCGACTCCCACCCAGAAACCAATGTCCCCACTGTGGAAGGACGTGTGGATCCAGAATTGGCCTCCACAGTCACTTACGGACTCACTGTTAAAACCGTGTTTATGGAAGACAATCTTACTCGGCTACGATTGATCGCCAAAGAAGAAGAAGAAGGTGTTTCTCACAAGGATCATGATGCGCAGAGCTGCCCTTAGGTGCACACTTTTACACATCTAATTTGTACATTGGCTGCCTCCTCCTTGCTTTTAGCCCCAGCCGAATAAAAAGCCCCAAATCTGGTGCACCTCCAATACTGCAATCGGAATCAATAAATGTAAATAGGCAGATTTGCCAGCTCCAAATAATTTATTCCAAGAGCAGAATTTTTTGAATTTTCTTGGTGCTCAGTGTGGAGAGCTCTGCCCTTTAAAGAGCCCCCCTCATTATGCTCTTGTGCTTGCAAATGGCTGATTGATTTTATTGCTGTGGCAAAGATCTAGGAATATGAACTGCTCGGTGCACCAGAATGTCACCAGCGTAACTTGTATTGTAAATAGCCACTGACACGCTGACTTCATTGTTAATGTAAGAGCTGTAAGAGGCTATTAATTTCATTATTGCTCAATCAGCAATGAGCACAAGTGCCACCATAACCCCCCAAGCTGCTTGGCTGGTTTCAGCAGAGAGGATGGAAATGCCATCAGGAAAGCTGGAAACTTAACTGGGAAAAGCGTGCTCTCCTTCATGGAGAGCACGTGTTGCGGTGGGGGCCGCCAGGACACTCCAAAGTTGGGGGGCGGGCTAATTGATCGTTGGCCACTGATGCGATTGGGGCTTCCCTTGTTGTTGGGAAGAAGTTAATGTTGCCATTTATTGATTGACAGCCAGAAATACTAAAACTCCTTGCACGAGGCTAGGGCTTCCTCTTTTCGCCCGTGCATCGGATTGCCCGTCCCTCCCTCCCTAGAATAGGGTTGTGCGCTTTGACCTTGCTATGCCTGTCATGGGGTCGTCTGCTTTGGAGCGGGGGCCTGGTAGGAATTTTGTCCATCTGGCTGATTGGCTGGGGCCATTTGGTTTTTGCCTACTGCGTAGCAAATCGTCACAACTTGTAAGGTTCGCGGTTAGGCATTGGTTTATGGTTTGGTTGGTTGAGGGGCATGGATTGGCTGTGCCTGCCCCTCTAATGCTGCTGCTGCAAGGGATTCCGTTAAAGGAATTGGGAGCTAACTATTGCTTCTCCACTCTGTCAAGGGGGCTCGGGCCATAGCAATGAGCTCCTGGTTGCATTTGGGGTGAGGGCAGGTTCCCTGCTCCGCGTAACCCCCAAGTGTATTCCCCTATTCTGACTTTCACATCGTGCGGAATGTCAGTCTGCCCCCCATGGTGGGGGCAGATAGTCGCAACCAATGCCTACGCAACCACTCACAAATTTGTATTTTAATAAAGTTGTGGCCAAAATTATGCCAAAAATCTTAAACAAAAATTTCTGTGTGATGTGTGAGTTATTGGGGTGGACCTGGGGACCTCGACACGCAAACAGCAGAAGATTATTGATGGCGTGACTTATTAGGAAACGGTGTCCAATTCTCAGAACGCCATCAAATGGATGAGATTATTATTATTACTACTACTAACTGCAGTACTCCGAACAACAGTCCTTTAAGGTGGGCCAGTACCATTATCAAAGCGCAGAAGGGGCCAAATCCTACCCAAGAGCCGCGAAGGGGAAGGGAAGCCAATCCATGGAAGCAAGAAATAAAAAGTGTTGGTTTTTTTCTGGGTTTGGTTGGTTGGTTGGTTGGTTGGTTTTTTAGGATTCACCATGCACATGTTTCCAAGAATAGGCTTCTCTGGCAACCCTTGCCCAGTTAAAACAGCAATGAAGCATAAAAACGACAAAATTAAAACATTGGTATAGTGTCCTGTCTTTTTAAGACATACAAAATGCTTGCAAAACACTCTGAAGCCCCCGCTGATTTCAAAGGGGTAGTTTTTAAAAAACTGAATTACGGAACTTGAAACTGCTCAACGGTAAGCAGGATTGTGTCCGATTTTTGATAACAACATGCTTTCGAAATAAAATACTGCACTGGTCTCCTTATACAAATTGCCCTACAAATCATTTTTATGTACTGGTTATAGCAAACTGCAAAAGAAAAAGAAAAAACCATGCTTCTTCCTCTTTCAACATCTTGCCCATTTGAAAATCATTTGCTTGGGTCTGGGGAGAGAAATCCAATATCCAGAAATAGCTGCATTCTTATTCAGCATGTAAGATCTTGCTCTTAACATTCAATTTGCTTGGCAAAACCTTTCAGATTCTAACATTTATGCCGCTCAAAATTATATTTCCAGAAAGCAGAGAACTAGGCCACCATGAGAGGGGGGGGGGAGGAGGGGGTCCAGTGCCTTGCCCAGTAGCACCAGATCCAGAAAGTTCAGCCACAAGTCCTGGAGAGTTGTGACTATACAGTGGTGCCTCGCAAGACGAAAAGAATCCGTTCCGCGAGTCTCTTCGTCTTGCGTTTTTTTCCGTCTTGTGAAGCAAGCCCATTAGCGGCTTAGCGGATTAGCGCTATTAGCGGCTTAGCGGGCTTAGCGGATCAGCTGATTAGCGGCTTAGCGGATCAGCTGATAAGCGCCTTAGTGGCTTAACGGATCAGCTGTTAAGCGGCTTAGCAGATCAGCTGATAAGCGGCTTAGCGATCAGCTGTTAAGCGGCTTAGCGGCTTAGCGGATCAGCTGATAAGCGGCTTAGAGGCTTGGGAAAAAGGGGGAGAAAAGGAAAAAAAACCCGCAGGAACTCGCAAGACATTTTCGTCTTGCGAAGCAAGCCCATAGGAAATTCGTTTTGCGAAGCACCTCCAAAACGGAAAACCCTTTCGTCTAGCGGGTTTTCCGTCTTGTGAGGCATTCGTCTTGCGGGGCACCACTGTACTTCAGCACTCACTGATTGGCCAGAGGCCATTGTGACATCAGTCCGACACCTGACTAGACATTGTGAGGACTTCCTGCTGGAATGTGAGATGCAGACGGAGTTGTCAGGCTACGGACACTTTACAAGATGGTGGTGAAAGCTGAAACACTCCTCTCGGTCATACAGATTCAGAAATGGCAGAAAGTAGCAGAAAACACCAGGAAATATTGAGTCACTTACTGAAGGTAAATGTCACCAGGGAAAGGCTTGTTCATTGTAAGGCACTCTCCGTAGGCTTGGGTTACCAGACGTCCCTGGTTCCCGGGGACAGTCACCAGATTTGCAAATCTGTCCCTGGACAAATTCCGTCCCTGGAATGTCCCCAGATTTGCAAATCTCTCCCTGGGAAATGTGGCAGCGGCAGCCTCAGCAGCCCAGAGCCAGCCTGGTAGCGCAGTTGGCTCTGGCTGGCTTCAGGAGCTGCTCGCTGCCCACTGACATGGCGCCCGCCAGTTTGCCTCCCGGAAGTCCCCATATAATGTGTCTTGTGTGCAACACATCATATGGGGACTTCTGGTGAGGAAAAATGGCGGGCACCACAGCAGCAAGCAGCTCCTGAAGCCAGCCAGAGCCAACTGCGCTACCAGGCTGGCTCCGGGCTGCTGGCTGCCACTGCTGAAGGGGAACCAGGGGCGTCCAGCAGTACAGATTTCCTGCCCCCTTTGTTTTGACTGATCAGGGAGGCTCGGGAGTTGCGGGTGGGCGGCCGTTGCCCAGTTTTTTAAAAACTCTGCACATTTATGTTTCACAGGGTGCGAAAGAAGGGCTTCTGGTTTTTTAACAAAAGTATTTTTATACATTTTCTTTAACTCATTATATATCATTTCCCTGTAAGCTTTTACCTCTTTACAAGTCCACTGCATGTGATAAAAGCTCCCTTCCTTTTCTTTACATTTCCAACAAACACATTTTTTTGAGGGGGCCCTCTTGACCCCCTGCCCCCAGCTTATTAAATCTAGCAGAGTTGGGTTGACTGGTTGGGTCCAGAATATGATTAATGCTTCATTGAATAATAATAATAATAATAATAATAATAATAATAATAATAATAAGGGCTAACAATCTCCTTTCCCTTCCTCCCCCACGACAAACACTCTGTGAGGTGAGTGAGGCTGAGAGACTTCAGAGAAGTGTGAGTAGCCCAAGGTCACCCAGCAGCTGCATGTGGAGGAGCGGGGAAGCGAACCCGGTTCACCAGATTACGAGTCCACTGCTCTTAACCACTACACCAGCTGGCTCTCATTGAGGGCCACAAATTCTCCATCCTTGCTTTATAGGTCCCGGTGAAACCTCACTGGTCCTTTGTGTTCACCTGTCCACTGCTGAGCTAGCAGTTTGGCTGCCTCCCTTTAGCACTCTCCAGACGTGGTACCCAAGAGAATCAGAGGACGGAGAAGCAAATCCCACTGCTGCTGCTGCTGCTAACATGCCACTGTGGTGCAGGAAGTCAACGGAGCCAAACTCCTGGTTCCACACCCTTTACATACACACAAAAAAAATCCACATTATTGTGCTTCCGAGTCAGGCTCTCGCTGCCCCCTGCCCCCCTCGCCCTGCACTCCATGCTACAAATTATTAAAGAGATATTTAGCTGCCACTCCGTTCCATCTAAGGAGACAAAAACCTCTTCCGCTTGAAGTCACCACAGATCCATCAGAGTCTGGCCACTGCCTGTCACTCGTGCATCACACGCCTCATTCATATTAAAGAGAGGTTGTTCTGCGGGGTTTAAACACCAGAGGAGTGTGTGTGTGTGTTTATTTTTTAAAAAATACCGATTGCTACCCAGAATGTAACGGCAAGTCAGGAGAAAATACGATTTAGAAGCAAATTCTTTTAAAAGAGGCAAATGCTGAATACTAATCCTGGCTTCCTTGGCTGCATGGCCGTTGAGCATTCTATCGGGCACACATGTTGCATAGCTAATTTGCGTTCAGTGCGAGGATTAATAATGCATGGCGCAAATATCAATGCAAGCTCATTCTTGGGTGCCTCTTGGTCTTTGGGCCATGAGAAACCAGCCACTCTACTCTTGCCTTGCCAGACTCCTCCAGCAATGGCCAGCCTCCAGCTGGGTTCTTCCTGTTTCCAAGGCTTGAGTCTTTCTCAATTCAAAGATCAGAGCAGCAAAAGATCATGGGACGCTGCCTTATATTCCATTGGTCCATCTAGCCCAGTGTTGTGTACCGGGTTTCATAGAGAGCAGTTCTTTCCCGCCACTACCTGGTGGCCTGGACTGGCTGGATGCTGAGGGGGGGGGACACAAGCTGGGGAACCCCCAAGGGAAGAAGGCTCAGAGCCTGGGGAGTGTTGGTAAGATGATGACGAATGGTCAGAGGGAGAAGAGGGAGCAGCCTGGGAGGAGGAGGTGTCGGAAGCTGAGGGGGCAACAGGCTTTAGTGAGCAAGAAGAGCCTGTGGCGGAGAGCAGTCCTGATTCAGAGGTGGGAGAGGAGCAGTGGCAAGGGACAGAGATAAGTCAGGCTGCTGAAGAATCCAGGGAGTCTCCCCTCTCCTGCTGCAACCAGCTCCCTTCCCCCCTAGTCTCCCAGAACACAGAGAGAAATGAAAAGAGCAGATGAGAGACTGGTTGCATGCAGACGCAATCTCCAATTGCTTGGAGGGGAAACCTGGAGAGGAGGGGACCTAGGCAGCTGTGGGAAGGCGGGGACCTTCATGTTAGGATATAGTTCTGTTCCACCTTAAAAGGAGCAGGCATGACTGGTGTGTCACATGCCTGTTTACTTCCAGCAGTCTGCTGGGAACTTCCGTTTGTATATAGCTTTTGTGTTACTGCTGTTTTGCTAGGGAGGAAGGGAAGCAGACATGTTTTCCTCTGTTCCTGAACTATGCTGAATAAAATGCTGTACATTATGCTTACACACTTCTCTGTCCGCCTCTTCTGCTGTGAGAAGATTTACACACTCTGCTGAGAGAGCGTGCACGGGTCTCTAAATGTATCTGAGGCTCGTGTCGCTGATTGATGCTGTTCCAAGGGAGACCGGCTGCCGGCCGGTGGCTGCAGCCAGCTGGGGGGCCTGCCTGATGCCTGCCTGATGCCCCTGTCTTCCCGGCAGTGTCCCAACACTTCAGTCCTTGCAACTGCCTCGTTAGGGCAAGACCTATTTGGAAGAGTTGCTGGGATCACTAAACCTGCGCTGTTCCGGTTTCTTTGAATAATTCTTCGTTAACTTCACTGAAACCAGTGTTTTTTAATTGCTGACATACACCTGACTCTGGTTCGTGACTTCAGGAACGTTTTGTGAATGGCACAGGTCCAACTGCGACCATGTGGAGAGATCTCTGGATGCCAGGTTGCCAACTGACATCTCCACCTAGCTGGCTGGCACTGCACATGGTAACATTGCAACAAAAGAAACATGTCTTGTGCTTCTATGCTGCCATGTGATTCAGATTAGCCCAAGCTCACCCAGTGAGCTTCATGGCTGAGTTGGGATTCGAACCCTGATCTCCCAGACCCTAGTCCAGCATGCCAACTATGACACCACACCGGTTTCCTAGAGTACTTCTGATATGGGGCAGCTATATAAATTAAGTAGGTCAATAAATATGTGAAAAGCAAAGCACCACTTGGAGTAGGGTCTGAAATATTTTCGCTGAAGTTTGAATTTGTTTTATTCTGGATTGTTTTATTTGATGTTTTAACGTGTTATAAACTGCTTTGAGAATTTTTTTATTTAAAATACAAAGCGGTATAGAAATGAAATGAATAATCAGTATTAAAAACAATAACAAATTTCATTATAAAAACAAAAACAAAATGGGGTTTAGACATTTCATTGTGAACTAGGTTTAAGGTGCTATTTGGCAATTAGCTTATATATCGGAGTTTCTAACATTGTGAGATTGCTGACATAACATATGTGAAGGAAAGGAATGCAAACACTGTTATTATTTGCGATGCAAACCATATTAAGCGGTAGTGACGTCATCAAAGGGCGACGTCACGATAAAGCAAACGTTCAGTCTGCTACCTATAAGCCGTAAAGGGAAGAGCAGTAAGATCACATAGCGCACAACCTGAAGGTCATGTCAGCCAGAGTAGTCCTTGAGGGTAATCGAGTGGAGCAATCCTTGCATTATTACTTGGCGGAAATTATTCATGCTGGTGAAATGATTGCAAAAGAGTCCCGATAATGTATATTTCAGTCAGAGAGATCAGAGGCAAAAGTAAGTGGATCAGCAGAACACCTGAGGAAAGTGATGCTTTTACATACGATGCATCGTAATTGTGGTCAAGAGATGCTGCACTTCAGCAGCAACAAGTCATTTTCTGCACCACTGGTCTGTCAAAATATTTCCTGCCCATGTATAAAATGCAAAGAGGAGGAGGAGGAACAGAGGGTGGAAATGAATTGCCAAGCCTATGTGCCCTTGGAAAACGAGGGCCCACCAAAAGATGCCAGGCCCAAGGCCAGAATCTTAACTGGGAAGCCACACTGAACCACCTTTTGATTCAATGCATTTTTTTGTCTTTGGAGGATTCATTCCTCGGGATAATTTTTGTTGTTGTTGTTCAAAACTATTGCCACGTGGATAAAGAAACTCTAGTTGGGGGTCTTCTCTGTAGCCAAATAAAATGAAAGGCGTTTGTCAGAGCTCAAGCCCACTCAGACATCAAGCTGGCGACTCTCCGGCTAATGGAAAGAACTACAGGAAGACCAGCCGCAGGGAGCGTCTTCACTGCGGTAGGCCAGAGGTGGACACCCTCCTGACCCAGGCAAAAGCTTCTTGTCGAGGAGCAACTGGGAGATCTGCTTTTGTTGAACAGGTTTCATATTCTCCTCCTTGCTCTGTCTCTGATATAGCCTTGGACTTCCCTCTCAGCTGCCCAGGAGACAGGCCTGACAGCATAAAATATGCCAATGCAAGAGGACCAGAGGACTCCAAGGAGGGAGGGGGAGACAGCAGCCGCAGTGGTGCTGAGCGCTCTGATCTTACACGCATTTCCACCAGCACAAGGAAATTGGAATAACATCTGATAAATCGCAGCGCGCTCTATGGAATCACCCCAAAATCAAACAGTTGTTTTTCTTTTTCTCGTTGGGAAACTCTCTTTGAACTGAAGCGGCATCATCTCAGACAATTCAGTTCTGGTAATCACAGCACTATCTTGCCGCAATTAAAATATAATGACTCCACTATTTAAAAACAGAAAAACCAACCCACTACCTTCAAAAGGCACGAAGCCATACCCTGACACCAGTCCAACACATTACGGTTTTGATTACCTAATTACAAGCTAATTCATTTAAACTATAACCTCATTTATGCAGCCACCTTGAAGGACATGAAATTTATCCACTTCAGAGCGATGCACAGCAGCCACACATACCTTCCAATGCTGGACAGAGAAAATCAGATATGCTAGCAAGTCTTTTAACACCAAACACTGGCATAGGCAGAGTGTGTAACCATGGTTACCACCAGTCAGGTTTATTGCCCTAACCCTGGTTAAAACCCCCCTCCAAAAAAATTAGTGCATTATTGGTTTAGCTTATCCAAGTGAAGCCTTGCCCCTTGAATAGGGATACATCGACAAGAGTTTGATATTGCTGGCCAGGGTGCGGCCTTAGCCAAGGTTTGCAAAGTGCAAATGTTATCACTTAGCCATGATTAACACAAACTCATTTCAAATCAGGATTTTCTTAACCTGCCAATCCTTTTCTGTGTTTTAGGTATTCTGAACTAGTTCCTAATCCAGTTCCTAACTCCATCTCCTCAGAGTATTGCGAAAGAACGATGTCAGTCAACATTTGATGATCTCCATCTACCAGTCCACAATAGAAAGTGTCCTTTCATACTGCATCACGGTGTGGTATGCTGGTTTGACATCAACTGATAGGAAGTGCCTGCAGAGGGTGGTGAATACAGCACAAGATATTATGGGCTGTCCCATGAATCCACTGGATGAAATAGCGGAAGAACGTTGCCTCAGGAGAGTGAGGAAAATTCTCGAGGATGATTCACACCCTGCCCAGCACTTTCTTGATCTCCTGCCCTCGGGCAGAAGATATAGAAGCATGGTTAGTCGTGCCAACAGGGTAAAGAACAGCTTCTGTCCATGGGCTGTTAGGCTGCTGAATGAAAAGATAACAACAGGGCAACTGACTTTCGAGTTTGGTGGGTGTGCGTCAGTAATTAAGGGAATTAAGACTAAGAGAGCTGAGTGGGGGGTGCTTGTGTAATCTCACTGTATACAAGTTGTACAAGTGACAATAAAGTATTTCAATTTCAATAATAACCATGGCTATGTAAAATAAACCATGGTTGAGCATTACGTCTCCATAGGACCTCAGTCAGATGGGAAACACATTTTGAAATCAAACCAGACTGAAGCTATGGTAGCTGCACCTCAAAGGAACCCAATATGTGAGCGCTTGTGTGAGCAATTACTGCCGGCAAAGTTGCCGTAGGATTAGTGTGGATTGTATATTATTTTTAAGTATTATTGGGGCTGTACTTGCAAAGCATTGTTTTGCCTAGGGGTATACATTATTCGTTTCTAACACCATTAATCACTTTCTTCTATCAGTCAAGTTGTTTGGGGCAAGAGGAATAAAGCAAGCAATGACTGTTATCAGAGAGCAGTACCATTAACTACCCTGTAATCAGACCGAAAAGCACACCCCAAAAGAGGCTACAATGTCTGCCTTCCAGAACTGCTTCTATATAAATCTATAGAGTTCTCCTTCCACATGGGTGTAATTATAGCAACATAATTTATGCACTCAGATACGCTGCATATATATATATTGCCACACAGGTGGGTGGCTGTGCAATAAGAATAGCTCTAAACCCCTATTTAAATATATGATAGCTATTCAGAGTGTTTGACATCTCTGGTATAAAGAGACATTCTCAAACTGTAATAATAATAATATAAGTGCTTGCTGCTCCCCTCAAATGTCAATTTCTGTCTGGTTCTTCCACCGCCCCAAAGATGGAACACTTCCCAGCAGATGGGATGATCTTAAAAAGGACTGGAGAGAGAGAGAGAGAGAGAGATATTCCCTGGCAGTCAATTAAGAGTTGGGATGAACCGGCTGTGCTTAAAATAACAAACAAACAGTCTAGATTCCTTCAAGTATTTCAGCATGCATTCAAAACTGCTGATTTCGCCTATTGTCAAGCACAATTGAACAATGCCACGGAAAAACAACTTTATATATATATATATTAAAAAAACCCTCTTTATTAACAGAATCCGGGAGACAAACAGGTATTTTGGTACATTGTCTAACAAACACGTCTATCAGCATCTTGGTGCATGCGTGTGCTCTCATGCTGATGTCTCCATCAAATCTATTTCTTCCAGAGTCCTTTATAGTCAAGAGACGTTAAAAATATCTGGACTCCAAGACGCTGGAACAAAGGAAGGGTGTTTTGTTTTGTTTCAAAGTGCTTTCAGATGAGCCGGCTCCAAAACAGTCGCTGGCTGTCATATATCCCTCCAATTCTCATTTGCACATCAGATTCTGCTTCGGTTATTTGAATTATTTGCTTCAGTTTTTGCTTCAGTTACTCAAGGAGGTTATCTTCTCAATGGACCTTCTACCTGTGAAGCATATGCCCTATCATTGTGCGCTGGCTGGGGCTGATGGAAACTATAGCCCAAGAATTTCTGGAGGGCATCAGTTTTGGTAGACCATCAGTCTTGGAATTGATGAATTGGAATCCACAGGTGACTTGTCTTGCTAAAGGGACCCCTGACCATTAGGTCCAGTCGTGACTGACTCTGGGGTTGCAGTGCTCATCTCGCTTTATTGGCCGAGGGAGCCGGCGTACAGCTTCCAGGTCATGTGGCCAGCATGACTAAGCCGCTTCTGGCGAACCAGAGCAGCGCACGGAAACGCCGTTTACCTTCCTGCCGGAGCGGTACCTATTTATCTACTTGCACTTTGGCGTGCTTTCGAACTGCTAGGTTGGCAGGAGCAGGGACCAAGCAACGGGAGCTCACCCCGTCACGGGGATTCGAACTGCCGACCTTCTGATCGGGAAGCCCTAGGCTCTGTGGTTTAACCCACAGCACCACCCAGGTCCCTTGACTTGTCTTGATAGTGCTACACAAATCCACTGTGAGCTTGCAGTTGCACATAGACAAATCCTGGCAGGTGATTACAGAAGCCAGAATTTATCCAGCTTGCAGACCTAGTGACAAGGGCATTTACAAATGTATTATCTCAAGCTAGAGATGGCAGGATAAGGCCCCCCTGGGAGTTTGGAAGTGCTGTTACTGACCACCACTTCCAATTGAAAAATCAATAGCATCGATAGGTAGAATAAGCCTTAAAGAACTGGTTGTTAAGTCCTCCGTTCAAATGCTAAATTTGTGAGTGACCCCAGGCCAAAGGTGAGTAACCTTGAGGTATGAGCATGGAAGTATCCACCAAACCAAAAAGCACAGAGTCTGATTTTAAAACCAAAAGCTTTTATTTTATGAAGAAGAAGCTAAAAACAATGCTCACAGTTTGCAGACTCTGAACAGCATTTATGCTCCTCACAGCGCAGGATTGCACAACTGCCCCTTTTCTGTTTATCCTTCTCAGGCCCTGCTTAAGAACATACTATGGAAGGATTTGGATGAGAAAGCCTGAGGAGCAAATTGAGGTTCTGCAGCGGAGATGGAATAAAATCAGCAGCATGTTTGTTAGAACACAGCATGATCCTTGGACGAATAGGAAATAAATAAGCCTTCCTGGAACATGTGTTGCCATGTTCTAAAACATGAGAAGAGCCTGCTGGATCAGGCCAGCAGCCCATCTGCTCCAACATCCTGTGCTGCCTCAATACAGCTGAGTGCCTCCATCACTAGGCTCCACTGAAAATGGCTTTTCCACGGAAAGACTCTGCATTTCTTATATGTGTAGCTGCGATCTTCTGAGTGACATGGACACGGTTAGGCCGCTGAATGCGCATATGTACTCTGTTGGTTATCCTTCCTCCCTCCCACCACCTCCATGTGGCCCCGGGAGCTGGCAATCCATGCTATGCCACTGCCTGTTGGTCACTGTGAGAACAGGATGCTGGACCAAATGGGTCTCTGACCTGTTCCAGCAGAGCTTTTCCTTCTGCCTGTGTTGTCCTCCATGTCCCACCTTACCTGTCTATTCTGCCCCATCAGCACCCCCAGACTCTACCATAGAACGATAACTCACGTTTTACAAGCGGGATAAATACAGTCATACCTCATGTTACATTTTCTTCATGTTACATTTTTTCAGGTTGAGTCCTGCGGTGACCTGGAAGTACCAGAACGGGTTACTTCCAGGTTTTGCCGCTTGCGCATGCGCACAAGTGCCAAATCGCTCCACGCACCTGCACAGACATGGCGCTTCAGGTTCCAGGCTTTGCATGTTGCGAATGGGCCTCTGGAACGGATCCTGTTCACAACCAGAGGTACCACTGTAAAGCAAATGTATGCAGAGAACCCGAGGCGCTTGATTTGCCTGCAGAGTTTGCGGCCATGGTTATGATTCATGCATGCATTTGTCCCTTTATTCAAATGTTTTGCATACCGCCTTCCTGCCCAAGTCAGCATTTGGTGAAGCTTGTTGGGAGATCTCCGAACGAAAATCACAAAAAAAGGCAAATGAAATCAAAGTGCATGCAATTATGCATAAATAATAGGAATGGAAGCAGCAGTTAAATAATTCAGGAAACAACAGGCCAACCTGAGGCCAAGGTAAAAGAAAAAAAGAAAAAGACACCAGCAAATGCAACAAATCAGCGAAGCTAGCAAAAGCTCATCTATACGGAACGGACATTGAGTCAGGGACTGGCTGGATGAAGAAGAGTGGTGGGAGATGCCAGTCCAAGAATCCCCCCCCCCCCGAGATGACACAGATGAAGATGTTGGTGTTTTGCAACTTTGACCTGTTGCAGGACCTTAGCAGAGCATATGCAGAGTTCCAGAAAGCAATCAGTTGCAGGCAGGATGGACGAAGCAGGAACAAAACGCTGCTACTAGTAACTTGGTTACTTAGATGAGTTTATTATTTACAGCAGACTCTACAAGTTACTATATACAAGAACAGAACAGATCTTAACTAGCTCTCTCTTCACAAACTCCAGACGACTCTCAGAACACCACACTGACCAATAAACTTTCCAGTCAGTAAAGGTCATAAGTCATCATGCCTGTGTGAGACCTCAACCAATGGTAGAGCTGTATCCAAGGTCTCATATCTCCAGGCGGTCTGCTCAGTCATCCTTGGCTTTCGGCCAACGCTTAATTGACTCTGTGTGAAGCTGCACAGAATGGTACGTGTCAAAAATCCCAACAGAAGACTTAGACCCAGGACAGTGGTGGTGGGACACCGAGAACCACTCTGCAGAAGGGACAAGCTGGGTGGTGATGGAAGCAGGAGGTTTGAGTGAACACAGAGGGGTCTGAAGAAGAAAGCCGTTCCAGGACAGGACTGGGCTGTGCATCTCAGTGTGAGCATGCAGTCTTGACAGAGAGGAGCCAGGCGCTGGTTCAGTTGCTCAGCAGTTGGACAGCCCCACTTCAGCTAGCCCTCCTCCTCCACTGACACCCAGATAATGAAGAGCCTCACTGAGCAGACAGGCCCAGAGGCAGATCCACCACCCCCGCCTCACCACAGTTTATGGCTACTTGAGAAGAGTCCAAAGAGAGAGGGCTAGAGAGAGAAGGAGAGGCCAGACGCCAGTCCCAGCAACATCTTCAACGAGGGAAGATTAGCCTAGATCAGCCTTTCTCAAACTGTGGGTCCCCAGATGTTGTTGAGCTACAACTCCCATCCCCCCTAGCTAGCAAGGCCAGAGCTCAGGGATGATGGGAGTTGTAGTCCAACAATATCTAGGGACCCACAGGTTGAGAACCGCTGGCCTAGATGAACTCTGCTGTGTTTTTACTTTTGTGAATAAAAGCTGATTGCGCTTCCTGACTTGTGAATAAACCTGCATTCCTAACAGCCCGTTGACATGTTGCAAGGACAGTAATAAGGATACCAGGCAGATCTCCGTTTGGAGGAAGTTCTGTAGTCAGGGTGCCAGAGCTGAAAAGGCCCCGCTCCAGCATCCACCTGCCTCAGATCCACAGGTGAGGGCACTCAGAGGATGAGGAACATAGGAAACTGCCTTGTGCACAGTCAGTCCATTGGTCCATCCAGTTCAGCATGGACTATACTAACTGGCAGTGGCTTTCTAGGCTTCTCTCCCATCACTACCTGGAGATGCCAGGGATTGAGCCTGGGGCCTTCTGCATGCCAGGCAGGTGTTCTCCTGAGCTACAGCCCCTTCCCCCCTTCAGGAGCTCTGGTGACAATCTCAGCTGCTAGACACAGGGACCACCAGTGAGATTTTGCTGCCTGGGTTGAAACAGCTAATGGTTGCTCCCTGTCAAGCCAGAAGATTTAGGAAGCAGGGGCTGAAATTTAGGAGAAGGGGTGATGCACAGGAATTGCACCCCTTGAAAGCCAAAGGATAAGGACTGAGTAGAGATCGGGAGTGGAAGAGGCGAGGAAGCTTTGCATATCAGTTTGCATATCAGTTTGCGGCCTAGGACCCACGTACCTATGGGACTGCCTCTCCTGGTATGCCCCGCGGAGGACCTTAAGGTCCACAAATGACAACACTTTGGAGGTCCCAAGCCGCAAGGTGGTTAGATTGCTCTCAACTAGGGCCAGGGCCTTTTCAGTACTGGCCCCGACTTGGTGGAACGCTCTGTCACAAGAGACTAGGGCCCTGCAGGACTTGACATCTTTCTGCAGGGCCTGCAAGACAGAGCTGGCCTTTGGTTTGGACTCAGTCAGACCCTTATGTTTCCCTCCCCTTATAGTTTTGATCTTTGGCCTACTTTTAAAATGAGGCTGCATTTTAAATTGCATTTTAACCTGTGTTTTAAATTGCCCCCCATTATGTTTTTATTGCAATTTTACTGGTGCTAGCCGCCCTGAGCCCGGCTCTGGCCAGGGATGGCGGGGTATAAATAAAATTTATTATTATTATTATTATTAAATAATGACTTGACTTTGCCTGCAGGCCTCCCATTGGTATTCTGCTACTGCTGGTGTCTGACTCCGCTAACATGCCAGAAATGTATGTCCTTCTGCATGCCGAAAAGTGGAACCACTCTTTTATTCCCCCCTGCTTGCCCTTCTGTCTCCTGCATTTGCTGGGCTTCCTCCTCCCCGTGGTCCTGTAGGGTAAAGGTTGCCGGCTTTACATCTCCTGCCATCTCCAAGGGCATCTGAGATTTCCCCTCCGAGGGAGGCCAGCTCTGATGTCAAGAAACGGCCAACCTCTTGCATAACCTCTGCTCTGGTAGTGCCCCAGCGCCAGAGCATGAGCACCAGAGCCAAGCTCCAAGGTCCACAGGACAAGATGTGGGTCAGGCAAGTAACAGCAGCTAACTGGTAGCGCCCCACCCGCTACTTCCCAGCCCTCACCCTTGTCAGTGTTTAAATCGTCTACCTCCGAGCAGGAAAAGGGCTGTTTGTTTAACTCATTTGAAAGAGGAGGGAAATGGGCTGTTTGTTGGGAAGGAGCAAGTTTTTCAGAAAATTGCAAAACATTCCTGCGTCACAGGTGGTGTATTCTGGGATAGGAAGTGGTTTGTTTGTTTGTTTGTTTGTTTGTTTGTTTGTTTGTTTTGCCAGCCATGCACATTTATGGGATGCTCCTATTTGGGCCTACTATAACGTACCGTTCAACAGTCTCGGTTTGAGCAGGACATCCCAGAATTACCAGCTATCCCAGCTTCTGATTGGGTCCTGGAATGTCCCATTTTTTTGCTCTTGCGTTGAGTCAGCAGGCTCAGGCCAGACGCTGGACCAAAAGAGGGGGAGACCAAAAAATAGAGCATCTCGAGTTTGACCAGCAGGATGTTGGAGAGTATGCTCTAAGCAAGGGGTGTCCAAAAGGTCGATAGCGATCTACCGGTCAATTGCGGGCTGTCCCTGGTCGATTCCGGTTGATCGTGGGACCCCAATCACTCCCCCAACAAACATAACTCAAAGCTCAACAACTTTGATGGGTAGATCACTGCCATTTTTTTTATAGTGGGAGTAGATCGCAGTCTCTTGGAAGTTGGACGCGCCTGCTAAGCAGATGGTGGTGATGACAAGGGCAACAAAGTGATCAAGGGGAAGGAGCAACTCTCCTATGAAGAAAGGTCCCAGCGTTTGGGACTTTCTTAGTCTAGAGATAAGGTGAGCATAAGGCAACATGATAGATGTTTATGAAGTTAAACACAGCATGGAAAAAGTGGATAGAGAAAAGTTCTTCTTCCTCCATCACAACACTAGAACTCAAGAACCTCCAAGCAAGCTGAATGGTGGGAGATCCAGGACAGTTAAAAGGAAGGACTTATTAACACAGCGCATTGCTAAACTATGGAACTCAAGCCCAAGGGAGGCAATGATGGCCACCAACCTAGATTGCTTTAAAAGAGGATCAGACACATTAATGGAGGAAACGGCTATTGACGGCTACTAGGCACAATGGCTATGCTTTGCCTCTACAGCTCAAGGTAGTGGTACTTCTGATTACGAGTTTATGGGAATCACAAATGGGGAGAATTGCTATAGTGTTCATGTCCTGCTTACAGGCTTCTCACAAGCATCTGGTTGGCCACTTTGAGAAGAGGATGTTGGACTAGATCGGCCTTTGGCCTGATCCCACAGGCTCTTGTTTTATAAATGGAGTCTGTCCAGGGACAGCCTGAGCCTGTTTGCCAACTGAGACAAGCCAGGATTCCCACACCGCTGCCAGCTGCGACTGCTACTTACTGCAGACACAGCAGGCTCATGTCAGTGGAGCTGGAGAACTTCCTGATGAACCGTCCTTCAGTCTTTAACTTTTCTCCTTCCGTGGTCCCTTTTCTCCATCACTTTCCCCACACTTTTCTATTGCTCTCCCCACGCACCGCCACCCACCTCTCTCAAATCTATTACTCCCTTTGAGAGTGAAAACAATCTCTCCATCTTCGCCATATGAGCAAGTATATTTATAGAACGTTTCTGTTATGTACTGAGTTGAATAGGATCCAGAATGCAGCAGTCTGATTGGTCCTAGAACAATAGGATCCAGAATGCAGCAGTCTGATTGGTCTGCAGGAGCCACCCAATCCAACTCCAGGTGGAAGTGAATCCGCAACCTGATTGGCCTACAGGAGAATCCCAGAATCAGCCAATCACATGGGGCCCATTGTGTAAATAATGTATATAAAGCAGACATTTCGGGGGAACTTCCATTCCTCACTACTATGAGCTGAATAAAGAGTTTGAAATCCGCACTCGACTCCGAGTATATTTCAGTTTCCCTGCTTTGTTCCATGAATAAAGGCAGACCCAACCCGAAGCAGCAGCAGGGTAGCTCAAAGAAGCCATGTTATCTAGCGGGAGGCATTGAAAATGCAGTGGGGGGGTGCGGATGGGAGTTAACTGTTCCCCAGAAGCCCCCGCCAGTCTCGCATACAATGGGGGCCAGGAGGTTAAAACACAACCATCATAACCTTTATTACACTTCGTTTTTGTGTGCAAAGCCATTAACGGCAGGAGGTATCGCAGATGTGCCACAACACCAGAGACTGAAGGGAAATTCAATATACGCATTGTAACCTAATTTATGGTGAGTGTCGGGGGGGGGGGGAAGAGGAAGAGGGAGGCACAGAGGATGGGGAAAGGGTGGTGCGTTGCCTTTCAATGGGTCAACAGCAGCAAGAGAAAGTATGGAGTCTTGCATGGCAATGGCTTCACAGAGTCATAGAACTGTAGAGTTCCTGCAATATAGGAATCACAGCTCAAGAATCCCTGGCAGATGGCCATCCAACCTCTGTTTAAAACCCTCCAAGGAACCCATTCCTACGAACAATCTCTGCTCGCCTGCAGGAAGATTCTCTCAAAATTGTCTTTCACTGGCACTGCACTTCATCCAAAATAAACACCAGCATCTGCCCCTATGGTGGAAAGGCTGTGGAGAGACGGGCTCATATTTTCATGCAAGGTGGAGTTGCAGGTTGGCAAATTTGGGGTGGGGGGGTGGAAGGTGTTTCACATTATTTCCAAAATTATGCAGCAACCCCTCCTGCCCAATTAGGTTCTTACCTTATTATCATTATGCATAGATTTTGTACTTTAACTGTTATCCGCAGCCCGATGAACAATAGCCTGAAACAACCCATAGAAATCTCCATTGGAATCTGGTTAAATAATATTGGGAATGTGGCTGTGTTGGAATGCCTTACTTGCCACAGAAGGGTAATTAAAGACACTTCAAGGATAGACACTTTTGGTGAGACTTGGCTTTCTTTCTTTCCCTTTATAAATGAGATAGAATATACTTTTTTTATTTCAAACCTGAAGCAATCTACCTGAGTAGACACTGGGAGCAAAAGAAACCTGTAGACACTCATTTCCATTGCTATCCTCTAGCTGCGCTGGCAATAAGATACAGCAACAAATTTTTAAAACCAGGTTTTCTGGAACTTCCAGAAACAAACATGTCATGTTTTCTGTCACTACCTATTGGAGTGTACACTTAAGATAGCCAAGTGATCTGTGTTGCAGAGTTTCGGTTACAGTATACCAAAAAAACCCTGTATACCCACAGGGACACAGCAAGACTAGAGATGTTGCAGAAAGGAGAGCTATGGCGGTCTATGTAGATCCTAAATATACTTTTAATCCATGCTCAGAAGAAGAATCTCTGTGGACAGGCTGCTTGAAATGATAATATATAAATAAGAGTATTGCTTGTGTGTAGTCATGCCTCTTGTTACGTTTGCTTCTGGTTAAATATTTTCAGGTTGCGTCCCACGGCAACCTGGAAGTACCAGAAAGGCTTACTTCTGGGTTTTGCCACTCGCGCATGCGCAGACGCTCAAAATGATGTCACGCACATGCGCAGAAGCGGCGAATCACAACCCGTGCACATGCAGACATGCAGGCACAGGTTGCGTTCTGATCGTGTTGCGAACGGGGTTCTGGAACAGATCCCGTTCACAACCAGAGGTACCACTGTACTATGTATTGCATGTGAAACTTAGTACAACTGTACCGCTGGGCAGGTTACTGTAGTTATACAGCAGTACCTTGGTTGGTGAACGGCTTGGTTTCCGAGCAAATCGGCTCCCGAGCACCACAAACCTGGAAGTGAGTGTTCCAGTTTGCAAATGTTTTTGGGAAGCCCAACGTCTGATGCAACTTGCATGGCTTCCAATTGAGTGCAGGAAGCTCCTGCAGCCAATCGGAAGCTATGCCTTGGTTTTCGAACGGTTCCAGGAGTCAAATGGATTCCTGGAAGGGATTAAGTTCAACAACCAAGGTACCACTGTATGTTATTATATTTAAATGAAAAGCAATACCAATTTATGGCAATTTAACCATGGGTAAGACTTGATTCGTTCATTATTATTTTTTCCAAAATAGTCCAGCCTCCCACAAGGACTGAGGGACAGCAGACCGGCCCCCTGCTGAAAAAGTTTGCTGACCCCTGGCTTAACTATTCTCAGAGAGGTGGTAAACCTGTCTCTCAGCTGGAGATGAGGGCTCACTCCTCCAAACAAAACTCCCCCCCACACACACACATGCATAAAAACAAACTTCCTCATCAGGAAGGCTGGTTCTAGACTTAATCCTTTATAGTCTTGCATATATAGGGATCAAGGGACGCTGGTGGCGCTGTGGGTTAAACCACAGAGCCTAGGGCTTGCTGATCAGAAGGTCAGCGGTTCGAATCCCCGCGATGGGGTGAGCCCCCGTTGCTCGGTCCCTGCTTCTGCCCACCTAGCAGTTCGAAAGCACGCCAAAGTGCAAGTAAATAAATAGGTACCACTCCAGCAGGAAGGTAAACGGCGTTTCCGTGCGCTGCTCTGGTTCGCCAGAAGCAGCTTAGTCATCCTGGCCACATGACCTGGAAGCTGTACGCCAGCTCCCTCAGCCAATAAAGCAAGATGAGCACTGCAACTCCAGAGTCGGCCACGACTGGACCTAATGGTCAGGGGCCCCTTTACCTTTACCTTTATATAGGGATCACTTTTGCATTCGATCATAAGATGCACAACCAGGGCTTGTTTTCTCAGCCACAGCTGAGCTCCAGCACTTCTCTGATGGGTGCCATTGCCATTATAAAAAGAGAACAAGGGAGAAGTTCGTGGTGAGTTCTGGCACCTCTTTTTCTAGAAAAATATCACTGTGACACCCACATTCAGAAATACTTCAGCCTGCACATGGGTTCAAACAGGACTATGTCAAACTATTTGTACCTGTGAGCACATATGCATGAGTATAACATAATTAATGCTTGGGGGTGAGGGATGCCCCCTCCCAAATATTTGCAAATCAGGATAGCAACGGCTAAATCATAGAGGTGAGAGCAAGGGATGAAGCAGCCAAAACTGAGCCAGTTCTCTCTGGGGAGTGGGGGGGGGGAGAGAAATGATACCAAATGGTTGCTGAGCTCCCCACAGACAAATAAGCAGCAGTTAATGCAATCACTTACTACCGACAGGGCTAACAATACAGAAAACAAAATGCAAAGTCACACCAGTGTCTGCCAGCAGATCTCTGGCACCAGGCAACAGGGACTGATGGCTGATCTGCATTCTGCGCCAGCGATATCCTCGTCCCAAGCTGTGGGGGCCCTCAGGATGGAGAGCAGAAGGCATTGCAATGTCAAATCTGTCATGTTAAGTGGCGTGCAAGTGGGACTTGCCTTAACAGGGGAAGGGAACAATGCCAGAGCTTCTGAATGCAGGTGATGGAAGAGGGTTTCGGTTGACAAAAGAATTCTCCCTTTAGTTCCAACGGGGCGGCAGTCAACTAAGTTTTACAGTGGTACCTCAGGTTACATACGCTTCAGGTTACATACACTTCAGGTTACAGACTCCGCTAACCCAGAAATAGTACCTCGGATTAAGAACTTTGCTTCAGGATGAGAACAGAAATCATGCTCTGGTGGTGCGGCGGCAGCAGGAGGCCCCATTAGCTAAAGTGGTGCTTCAGGTTAAGAACAGTTTCAGGTTAAGAACGGACCTCCGGAACAAATTAAGTTCTTAACCAGAGGTACCACTGTACTTAGTTATGCGTTACTTAGTTATGCATTAGGGGACGCAAGTGGCACTGTGGGTTAAACCACAGAGCCTAGGACTTGCCGATCAGAAGGTTGGCGGTTCGAATCCCCACAACGGGGTGAGCTCCCGTTGCTCGGTCCCTGCTCCTGCCAACCGAGGAGTTCAAAAGCACGTCAAAGTGCAAGTAGATAAATTGATACCACTCGGCGGGAAGGTAAACGGCGTCTCTGTGCGCTACTCTGGTTCGCCAGAAGCGGCTTAGTCATGCTGGCCACATGACCCGGAAGCTGTACGCCGGCTCCCTCAGCCAAAAAAGCGAGATGAGCACCACAACCCCAGAGTCGGCCACAACTGGACCTAATGGTCAGGGGTCCCTTTACCTTTACCTTTAGTTATGCATTAGATAAGATGTGGAGCTTCGTGTGCATGAAACCCCTTGAATCGCACAGGAGGTGCAGTGTTTAGGATGCATGATCCTTCAACCAGCCTACGAAATGCTGCTGGTGCTCTCGCTGTAATTCTTTTCACACCCCGTCCCTCAAACTTGGTTTTGCCTAAGGAGGAACTCCCATACCTGCCTCTCTGATTATATTCTTGGCGGACTGTTCTTTTCTAGGGAAATGTGATGTATTTCCCTAAGACTAAGTCATGGGTAGGCAAACTAAGGCCCGGGGGCTGGATCCGGCCCAATCGCCTTCTAAATCCGGCCTGCAGACGGTCTGGGAATCAGCGTGTTTTTACATGAGTAGAATTGTGTCAATTTATTTAAAATGCATCTCTGGGTTATTTGTGGGGCATAGGAATTTGTTCATTCCCACTCCAAAATATAGTCCGGCCCCCCACAAGGTCTGAGGGACAGTGGACTGGCCCCCTGCTGAAAAAGTTTGCTGACCCCTGCTAAGTGCTTAAAGGCAGAGGATTTCAAGATACTGCAGATCGCAGACAGAAAGCCGTCTGCTAGGAGGGAAAAGCAAGCATATCCAAAAGCCCATTTGCAAAGGAAGCCCACTAGGCAAGAGGCTCAGCCACCAATAACTTGGATGAGATATCTGCAGGGTCAGAGGAGCGTCTATTAGCATGCAAAGCACACCTTCGTTGCACAACTTTAGTCTGTCATCAATATGTTCCTTCAAGCCCCGAGGAGCTAAATTGATCGCGTACGCGCGCACAAACACAAAACAAACAATCCAGGAGAAAGCTACAAGAGAAAGCTACAAAAACAGAAAAGCTTAGGAGGGGAAGGGATCAAAGGATCAGTGATATTTGTGCCACAGCCTCATCTGATGCAGCGAGTAACAACGACCACCGCCCCCCCCCCCGCTCCGATCCCCCCTGCCCCTTAATCACGCCGACGACAAATGAGACAAACACAAGGAGATTTGCACACTGCCGGGGTTGCTGTGTTTAATTAGATTTCATCAGGAAGGTTCTGAAAAATTAATATGGAGAGATTTCCGCCAGCCCCAGTGATAACCTCTCCCTGAAAGCTTCAGAATTTATAGTCAGCTGTCAGTTCAGAGGAAGTTGCAGGAACTCCCAAGACAGATGGATTCCAAAAGTGCATGCCTGGGTCCTGGCAAGAGGAGAGTGTGAAGGCTGCCGGGGTTATCACTAGGCATGATACCACTCATTAATACAGTAACTGGGTTTCAAATTGCATGAGGTGTAAGGAAAGGATATAAGCCACATCTTACAACAAGGATGGGGAACTTGTGGCCCTGCAGGTCTTACTGGATTGTCCCCAAGTATAATCAATGGTCATGGATTATGGGAGTTGTAGTCACAGGTTTCCCATCCCTGATTCACAGGAAACGCAAGTCAAAAAGTGCCAACTCTTTATTCAAACAGCTCTATCATGGGACAAAATATTACCAGGCATGTCAAAAAAGACTTAATGAGCCACATGTCTTATTTATACCCCATACAAGCCCACTTGAGGGGACACGGGTGGCACTGTGGTCTAAACCACAGAGCCTAGGGCTTGCTGATCAGACGGTCGGTGGTTCGAATCCCCACGATGGGGTGAGATCCCATTGCTCGGTCCCAGCTCCTGCCAACCTTGCAGTTCGAAAGCATGTCAAAGTGCAAGTAGATAAACAGGTACCGCTCCTGCAGGCAGGTAAAGAATGTTTCAGTGCGCTGCTCTGGTTCGCCAGAAGCAGCTTAGTCATGCTGGCCACATGACCCAGAAGCTGTACACCGGCTCCCTCGGCCAATAAAGCGAGATGAGCGCCACTACCCCAGAGTCGGTCACGACTGGACCTAATGGTCAGGGATCCCTTTACCTTTAACAAGCCCACTTGACCTCATTGATAAGTGCAGCTGGTACATAATATCTATTCTGCATTTGTAAGAACACAAACTTTTTGTGCAACAGCATCTAAACTTCGGAACTCCCTGCCTATTGATTTTAGGTTGGCGCCTTCTCCGTACTCTTTTTGGCACCTGCTAAAAAATGTCCTTGTTTAGACAAGCCACCCTGGAGGTTCAGAAAGTTTATTTGAGTTTTAATCTGTTTGTAGTCTACTGTTGTTGTAACTTTCTATCACTGCCTATGGAAGAAAAGAACGAGACTCAAATCAGATCCCCAAAATGGTGAGCCGAAAGTACGAACATTGTTTTCCCAGGCCTTGAAGTCACTGTACTTCAACAAAAGTGTTTCAGAAGGAGACTCCTGCATGATGAAGATGCACAACAGGAATAAAATTGCAAATTTGGCGTTGTGGAACCTGGTCTCAGCTGCTCCTGGGAATTCCTTACTCACTACATAAAGTTACAGGTAGGTAGCCGTGTTGGTCTGCCGTAGTCGAAACAAAATTAAAAAACTCCTTCCAGTAGCACCTTAGAGACCAACTAAGTTTGTTATTGGTATGAGCTTTTGTGTGCATGCAGACTTCTTCTATTTCAGTGTATCTGAAGAAGTGTGCATGCACACAAAATCTCATACCAGTAACAAACTTAGTTGGTCTCTAAGGTGCTACTGGAAGGAATTTTTTTATTTTGTTGCACTACAGAAGTTTCTCTTTAAATTTTCAGTTACATTCTTGATCTCGTTGTGCCTATTCATCACCAGTGGCTGCCACAAGTCAAGAGTGGATCACACCCACACCGAATGGATCTCATATTTAACTACTCTGCTTAACCATGTGCATCTCCTGCATTGCTTGGTCTTCTGGTCATGCTTCGTTGTTGGGGGGAAACCAACTGTGTTTACTTCTCTCAGAACTTGAGGCACATATGCAAGCCAACTTAGGAGACTACATCATGCATCTAACGAAGTGGTCTCTTGCCCATGGAAGCATACTCCACAGAGAATCTATCGGTCTATTACAGGGTTGTGAACCCCATGGCCCTCTAGAGGTTATTGTACTACAACTCTCATCACCCCTGAGCATTGGTCATGTTGTCTGAGACTTCCTGGAGTTGGAGTCCAGCAACATCTGGAGTTCTCCATTCTTTGTTTGTAAGAGGCCATAAAATTCTCTGTTGTTTTGGCTGCAACTGACTTAGAACTGGAATGGTTGGAAGTGGACAACTGGAAGCTCCCATGATTCATTTTGCTTCCATGTGGTTTCCTCCATATACCAAGACTAATCCATGAGGTCCCATAAAAAAGGGGTTGTCAATGGCTGCTTTCCTAGCTTCCTTCAGCAACATACAGGCGAGACCTCAACTAGACTGATACCCAGACAAAGGAACAGGCCAGAGCTGGTAGCACTCATGGATCACACCCACACCGAATGGATCTCATATTTAACTACTCTGCTTAACCATGTGCATCTTCGGAAGTTTTACTCGCACATTCCCCCAACACATGGAAGTTGGGAGTGGGGCCACAGCACACAACCTCACTCCCTCAAGTTTGAACTCTTATACAGAAGGTAGCCCCATGTTAAATAAATAAAACCAGGGACAGGGTTGCGTGCCTGGTGATGAAAAATGCATGCATTTGGTGACGAGGAAACCTGAATTTCTGCAATCTGTATGACTTGGGCAACTTTGCATAATTTATGCAGTTTTGCAGATATGCATACTTGTCCTTTGTCATAATTTATTTATTCTGCCATTTTTATTATTCTGCATTGTTCACTCTGCTTCTGCTTATCACAAGGGAAGGCAATGCGGAACATCCACTCCTCTCTTCCTTCTGATATTTCTTCAGGCATTCCCCATGAGCTTTCCCAACACATTTTTATTGCACCCAATGGGGCTAGAATCACCCCAGCACCTCAAGATGCACCTGCCAAAAATCTACCTTTGACTCAACAATTAAAGGTGTAAGAACCTGTCCTCCTTCACACCTGATCACCCACAAAGAGTGGTTTTGGCAAGCAATGTCATGTTGGCACAACTATCTTATTCTTACTTCTAAAGGGGACTCGACAGTGTCCCTTTATATAAAGGTCATTTACTCAAACAAAAGGCAGAGAAAGAGGGAAATGGCCCGACATGAGTCTAGCAGGCTTCGCAAACTGCTCATTTCAGTGACCATAAGGAGATGAGCATTCAGGATAGCAGGACAGCCAGCATTAATAAGCATTCTGCTAGGATTCCTACCCCAGCTGAAAGTTGCTCACCCTAATAAATTGAGACATATTTTTCTGCCTTTAACTTTTTTTTAAAAAATCACCTTTGCTTACAAAGAACGATCCATCACTACCACAATCTTGGGCATCAAGTGAAGCTAAGATAAATGCTGTTTTTCACTATCCAAACATGTACAGTGGATGCTCAGGTTGTGAACGTGATCTGTGCAGGATACACGTTCGCAACCTACAACATCCGCAACCCGCAGCGGCACGTCTGCGCATGCGCAGGTTGCAATTCGGGTCTTCTGCGCATGTGCAAAGCACGATTTAACGCTTCTGCTCATCCACTGAAACCTGGAAGTAACCCATTCCGGTACTTCCAGGTTTTGGCGGTCCGCAACCCGAAAAAACGCAACCTGAAGCATCTGTAACCCAAGGAAAGACTGTATTTGTCTTCAAGTGGTTAAGCCAAGGCCTGTAACTGGAACATGACCTGAGCTAAGGTAGAATTCACAAGCAGAACCAACAACTGCCTGTTGGAGAAAGAAAAGGGGGGAAGGAGAAAAAGAAAGAGAGAGTGTGTCAGAAAAAGAGAAGGAGAGAGAAGGAAGGAAGGAAGGATGGGAAATAAAACAATACATAATGGGAAAAACAAAAGTGGTTTCCACATTGCAGTGCAAGTTTGAATCACGGAAATCTGGAAAATTTTGATCAATTTGTTATTTTATTACATTTGAGTTCCAGCTCCAAGGGTCTTTTGGCAGTTTCCTCACTGCAAAAAGTGAGGTTACAGGGAACCAGGCAGAGGGCCTTATTGGTGTTTGCGTCCACCTTTCAGAAAGCCCTCCCCTCAGATGTCAAGGAAATAAACATTTACCTGGCTTTTAGGAGACACCTGAAGGCAGCCCTGTACAGGGAGGTTTTAAATGTTTGATGTTTTATTGTGTTTTTAATACGTTGCTGGAAGAGTGGCTGGGGCAACCCAGTCAGATGGGTGGCATATTAATAATAAAATGATTCCAATTCATATTTGCACCCTCCCAGGTGGTGTACACAAGAGTCACCCACTTTTTTAGCACAACACTGCGAGGTAGGCCCAGTCAAGCAGAGAGTGCCTTCTGCACCCACCTGGCACTCTGACCACTGCACTACACTGTGCAGCCGAGGGAGCCACTACACTGGCATTGTTGGCATACAACCAAGGAAGCGGGGGCAATTGGCAGGCCCCCAGCTGGCTCCATCCCACCGGCCGGTGTCCCGGACGAACTCCAGTCCTTGGTGCAGCATGAATCAGCAACCTGAACTTCAAAAGCTAGGGCATGCTCTATTTAGCAGAGGTAACACTATGCAACAGAAGTAGCAGGAGAGGCTGTGTGAGCATATTTACAAGCAGTTTATTCAGCATACATCAGGATATAAGGAAAACATGTCCGATCTCCTTCGTGTCCAACGCAAGACAGCTTAAGCAAAAGCTATACACAAAACAGAAGATCCCAGCAAGCTGTGCTGGAGTGTAAACAGGCATGTGACATACAACAGTTCCACACGTCTGTTCTTAAGGTGGAATGGAATATCCCAACAGGCATAACTCACTGACCCCCACATAGGAGGGGTGTGTGCTTTCTCCATCTGAAGAATGGTGGGAGGGCACAGAGGAAAGGGCAATCTTGGTTGTACAGTTGGGCAGGGAATGCCCTCCCAGGGCAAGCCTGCTTAGTTATAGCTCTGTCGAGATGTAAGAACATGGCTCCAGCTGACACCAATCTGCATTTTGACTTTTGACTTCTGTGGGCATGCCATGACTTTTTCTGCTTTGCTGAGCATACAATCATAGAGTTGGTAGGTGACTTCGAAGGCCATCAAGCCCAACTCCCTGCAATGCAGGAATCATAGCTATTTTCATTTTATTTTATGAAAGTATTTCAATGGAACAAAGTAAAATAAAAATAAAAAGTGCATGAAGAGAAGAGGCAGGTATATTATATCACTATATATCCCTACAATTCCAATTCCATATATGCTTTTCTAGTATATAGGTATATAAGTGCTTTTATTATCCAAATATCACAGCTAAAGAATCCCTGAGAGATGCCCATCCGATTTTAGCAAACTGTTGTTCCGCAGGTTTCAATATGTGAACACTGATTTTTAAAAAACTGCTTTTTTTGAGAGGGGGTATCAATAATCAGGCAGAACTGTGGGTATTGATATCAAATAACAATTTCTTTTTTTAAAAAAATGTGGTCCACCCCAGCAAAGAAGTGAGCCGCTTATTCCGCAGTGCAGCGTTATTTGTTTATTTCTGTTTATTTCGATTATTTGTATAGTGCTTGGATCACAGTAGTGCCCAGACAGTCGTCAAGGGCAGCCCAACTGTGAAGTTGGAAAGGTCAGAATGAGGGCTTATCCACACATACCTTTCCTTCTACGCTTTCCAGGCACGGTCCACGATTTAAAGCTCCGTGTCTGAGCATCCTTTCTTTTCCTCCAGAGCTTTCCCCATGAAAACCCCCACTTCATAGCTCAATTGGAACAAAGTCAACCTGCAGAAAACCCTAATAGCTGTTTGCTCCAATGAAGCTTTAAAGAGCAGATTTTTGCAAGAAAAGCTCTGGAGAGAAAAAAAGGTGGGCATTTGGACACAGAGCTTTAAAGCGTGGACCTGTGCCTCAAAAGAACATGGCAAAAGGTATGTGTGGCTAAACCCTGACTTGAAATATCATGCTTTAGAAGGATCTTCCTTTATAGCTTGCTTGCTTCCTCTGGTACCCAAGAAAAGTGTCATGAGACAAAGGTTCTTGAGAGCAGAAGCAGCAGCAAGGCCTACAAGGCCTACACAATCATTCAAGCCTAAGCCTGCTAACTGCTGTTATCAGCAAACTGCTAAGTCACTGTGACTCATGACTTATCTTGGGTGATGACTCGTTCTCCCTATAAAAGTAGCCAGTCTCTCTATGGGCCTCAGTCAGAGAGGCTGTATGGATTGTGTATGGAGTAGTCTGTGGAATAGTGTTGTTGTTGTTGCTATGTAAAGCTAAGGCAGACAGAGTGGCTCCAGGACTCTAGTAAATCAATAATAATAATAATAATAATAATAATAATAATAATAATAATATTTTTTTATTTATATCTCACCCTCCCCAGCCAAAGCCGGGCTCAGAGTGGCTAACAACAGTAAAAATAGCACAGTTTACGTAAAATCACAATCAATTAATTGAAATACATTCTAAAATCAATTCATTCAGTAACTAAGACTATGCCTCTGTAAAGAGTCAGATAGCTGCTATGAGCACTCTGTGTATGCTCTTTAACTATGCTGTTTCTGAACAAGTTTATTTCCTTCAGTAAAGTTTAATTCTGTTTATAAAGAAGACCCTGTGTTGATTATTTCACCGCTGTGCAACAAAAAGATGGTCCAGTTCTATGCTTCCTCTGGCTTTCTGCATCACAGAAAACTTGAGGTCGCTTGTCTCCCAGCACCACTACCACCACAAGCAAACGCAAATTTAACACCAGTGTCTACTGCCTTTCCCTTAAAGGTAAAGGGTAAAGGACCCCTGACCGTTAGGTCCAGTCGCAGACAACTCTGGGGTTGTGGCGCTCATCTCGCTTTACTGGCCGAGGGAGCTGACATATAGCTTCCGGGTCATGTGGCCAGCATGACTAAGCCGCTTCTGGCAAACCAGAGCAGCGTATGGAAATGCCGTTTACCTTCCCGCCGGAGTGGTACCTATTTATCTACTTGCACTTTGACGTGATTTCGAACTGCTAGGTTGGCAGGAGCAGGGACCGAGCAATGGGAGCTCACCCCGTTGCGGAGATTTGAACCGCCGACCTTCTGATTGGCAAGCCCTAGGCTCTGTGGTTTAGACCACCCTTGCCTTTCCCTTACAAACCCACAAAAAGCAGTGATGGAACTGATGCCAGGATCTCTGTCCAACTGCCTGCTCCTGAATGCATCCGGGATCAAGAGCCAGGTCATTAAAAGATGAAACACAGGAGAGAGAGAAAAAACACACAACAATAATAGAAAACCCCAAAGATGATGGAGGAGGGAATCGTGGGACTAAAGATTGCCGACAGATGGGTGAGGAGCTCAGCTCCTGAAGGAAGAAAGAGATGGGTTTGCACTGTCTTATCACGGACCGGCTGCTATTCCAACAAGCTCCCTGATAACATAGAGAGCTTAATCAAATATGCAAATGAGGTCCTATCTGGAGAACGATGGAACGGAAAATAAATGCAGAGATTGTGCTTTTGAAGGCGCAAGGAGGGGTGGAAGGTTTCCCCCACCCCTGTCTCATTCTGACAAAATTTGTTTTCAAAAGATTAAATGAAAGCAAAACTAATTAGGAGAATCACCCATAAGCCGGCTGCCTGTAAGTGGGGTCAGAAGGCGAGAGGCGCAGGAATGAAAGGCAAATGCAAAAGGCGCTGAAAATAGCGGAAGAAATTGAAGCAGAAGGGGGTGGGAAGGAGGCGACACGCCACCAAATGCAAGATGAGAGTCGAGGGTTAGGCCGTTCATTGGGCGTGAATCGAGAGTTGGGCTGATTGAAAACATCCTAACTTTGCCATCCATTTGAAGGAAGGCTAGAGAACTAGTAGCTCATGGCACCCTTATATGGGGAAAGGAAGAGAGTCATTTATCTGAGCAATAAGTACAGTGGTACCTCTGGTTACATACTTAATTCGTTCCGGAGGTCCGTTCTAAACCTGAAACTGTTCTTAACCTGAAGCACCACTTTAGCTAATGGGGCCTCCCGCTGCCACCGTGCTGCCAGAGCACGATTTCTGTTCTCTTTCTGAAGCAAAGTTCTTAACCTGAGACACTATTTCTGGGTTTATGAAGTCTGTAACCTGAAGCATATGTATCCCGAGGTATGAAGAAATCTGCCTTGCACTGAGTTAGACCGTTGGCCTCTCTAGCTTTGTACAGCCTGCACTGGCAGGCAGTGGCTCTTGAGTGCTTCAGACAAGAGTCTGTCCCATAGCTGTCAACTTTCAGATTTGAAAATAAGGGATCAGCAGCCTCACCTGTCCCGGGGACAATCTACGGGATATCTAACAATCCAGGATAGCAGTGGGAAACGGCGCTGGAATAAGGGAATTTCCCACAAAAAAGGGGAAGGTTGACAGCTATGGTCTGTCCCCTGGAGAGGCCACCAGGGATTGAACCTAGAAACTTCTTGCAAGCAGAGTAGCTGCTCCACCACTGAGCTACAGCGGGGCTCTTCCTCTCCATGCCAAATAGCCATGAAGCCATTTCTCGTGCAGTCACAAGGACCGAAGGTATGGGCACACAAAGATCCCTGTAGCACTTTTTAAATCAGCTCCAAGCAGAAAGGTCTCGAGCTTTTCAGGGCAGGGAAATGAAAGCGCTTCTTCGTACGGCACCTAGTTAAACCGTAGAACGGGCTCCCACATGCGGCAGTGGTGGCCACCAACCTAAATGGCTTTAAAAGAGGATTAGATGGATTCATGGATAAGAGGGCTATTGATGGCTACTAGGCAGAGTAGCTGTGCTCTTGTCTCCACACTTGGAAGCAGCAATGGGTACTAGATGCTGGAAACCACATGGGGGAAGAGTGTTCTTGCTCTTGAACCCTGCTTGTGGGCTTTCTGCCCCACAGGCATCTGGTTGGCCACTGTGAGAAGGCCTCTCCTCCCGGAGGGGAGGGGTTGTGAGTGGGAGCAGCTTCCCACTGGGGTAAGGAGGCGTACTCCGCTCCCTGCTCCTGATTGCTTCTGCTGCCGCAGCCAAGCCTTCCAGCCGACCAATACGGCCGGCTGGTGGGCAGGGCTAGCCGCATTTAAACAGCCACAACACAATCTGCTCCCAGTCTGCTCCTGCTCATGGTTAGGCATTGGAATATGTGTGCTGTGTTGGAGGATTGGGTATGCGCCATCATCTACCCCTCCTCTTTTAGGTATTCCATTAAAGGAATCCGGCGGTCGTGGATCCTGTCCGATGCCCTGCTGGTGGCTAGGGCCATGGCACGACCCCCGGAGACGTCATGGGGGAGCTTCCAGTTGTATTTGCATCAACAAGCTCCTCCCATTGGTTGTTAACTCTGATATGACTCCCGGCTGTGCAGGGTGGAGTCTGGTATTGCTGTTTCATCCAGTGCCTAAGCCAATACTACTCACATGCTGTAACCAATAAAAGTTGTGGCCTAATTTTGCCCATTAACCTAAAATAATGTGTCTTTGTGTCTTATTATACTCCTACGCGGGTGGCGGGTCCTTGACTCACAACAGGATGCTTGAATAGATGGGCCATTTGTCTGATGCAGCAGGCTCTTGCAGTGTTCTTATGTACAGAATTGGCTGCCATCAGGGTATTGTCTGAGAGGGGGGAAATGGGGGGACAGGCTATGTAGGAAAAAGCAGGAGAGGATGGGAAAATAATGCATCTCCCAGGCACAACTCCTTTTGCTCTAACTGACACACACACACACACACACACACACACACACACCATTTCATATACCATTGTGGTAGACCTGCATTTCACAGAGACATGAATCACAGAATTCTGGAGTTGGAAGGGATCCCTGAGGGTCATCTAGTCCAACCCCCTGCAATGCAGGAATCTCAAGTAAAACATCCATGGCAGATGGCCATCCCACCTCTGTTTAAAAACCTTGAAGAAAGCAGAGTGCACAACCTCCCGAGGGATACCGTTCCACTGTCAAACAGCTCTTATTGTCAGAAAGTTCTTCTTGGTTTTTCCTTGGAATCTCTTCACTTGTAACTTGAAGTCACTGGTTCGAGTCCCACCCTCCAGAGCAGGAGAAAACAAGCTTGTTCCATCCTCCATGTGACAGCCCTTGAGATATTGGAATATGGCTATCATATCTCCTTTCAGTCTTCTCTCCGTGCTTGCCACTCCATACTAGCTATGAATGGCTAGTAAGCACCATTCAATTATGCATATCTTAGGAATCAAGGTGGATTTGATTTGATTTTTAAGCGGTGTGCAAAAATCCAGCCCTGAATTTCCATGCATCTCCCCACTTTTCTGCACCATGGTCTCAGGAGCCCATGTCAGTTCTACTGTGCGAGATCCAGTCATCTATGCTCTCAGGAGCTGTGGGCAAGGAGCTGAAAGTGGGATTTCCACCCTGCTTCGAGCTTGTGTTAATTCAGTCTTATTTTGACTGCTCAGATCTTTACAGCTGTTTGTTGTTGTGGGTAGCAAGGAAAGGGAAATGGACTTGTTTATTTCAAAACACATTCTCGGAGGAAAACACAGCCAAGGAACGAGCAGGACTGTCGTCATGTGTGGGCTTGGATAATTGGGCAGGATGCTTGCAGAATACCAAAGCAGCTTGATGGACAGGGAGACAGTTTTTTGTTTTTCCTATCAAAGTATTGTTATGAGGAGGAGAAATCCCTAGGCTTTATCTTTATGCCAGGAACTAAGTCCACTTAACTGTGGCCAAGAAAGGGAGCAGTCTTGAGAGATGAGACCAAGTGCCATTCAGTCTAGCATTCCATCTTCAGTAGCAGCTATAGCCACACAACTCTGAGCAAAGTCAGCCGCATTATCTGCTACTCAGAGGCATACTGACTCTGAGCACACTGATTGGTTAACAGCCACCGAAAGGCCTGTTCCTCATTATTTTTCATATCTAAACTACTGTTCCTGATCATGTTTTATGGTGAGGAAATGCACAAGGTAATTGTGCACTGAGCTAAGAATGCATAACTGCTTTGCAGATTTGCTTCCTACAAAACACGATTAGGCCCTGTAGCTTAAATATGACAGTAATGGGGAACAGGACCTCTTTTATTTGGCCTGAGCGGGCCTGTTTCAATAGAATTCTAATATCTTGAGTGAGAAAGAGAATCACTTCTCTTTCTCCCCTTCCTTGCCCCATCTGTAATTTTGAAAACTATCATGTCCTCATTCCAAGCCCGTCATCTTTGTTCTAAATTAATCTCTCTTCTCCTTGCCATCTCCGCCTTCCTTTTTTTAATGGGGCTGGACTCTTGCGCTTTATCCGATGTTCTGATTTTAGAGGCATCTCAGCGTGTCATTGGAGATGCGGATCTTGTGACCATGGAATGAGATTTGTAAATGGAAGATCTAATCCCCTCCAGATCCAATCTCTACTTCAAAGACTGGCAGCACTTGGCTGCCGGTCGTGTTTCGTCAGCGGTGCTGTGCTGTGCATTTTTATTTGGCCAAAGAACAAGCTTCAGAGCAAGAGGGGGAACGTTCTTGTTGGAGCATCGTCCGGAAAGGAGATGAGGAGAGCCATGCCATTGTGCACTGCAGTGTCACTGCAGAAGCACGTTGGGAAATGTTCAGCTCAGTGGTGTCTTGTGATAGGCAGGGGCTGTGGATTCCCCACAAAGTCCTTAATGCCAGCATCATGAGGACCAAACATGAGGTGACAGCAGCAGACCTTTTCCTTCAAAGGGCAGAGGAAGGAAGCCAAGGTGAGCAAGGGTATGGAAACCTAGCCTTATGAAGAACAGTTGAGGGAACTGGGTATGTTTAGCCTGGGGGAAAAGGAGATTGAAACATGGGCATCTTCAAATATCTAAAGGGCTGTCACATGGAAGATGGAGCAAGCTTGTTTTCTCCGGCTCTAGAGGGTGGGACTTGAAGCAATGGCTTCAAGTTGCAGGAAAGGAGAATCCAACTTAAACATCAGGAAGAACTTTCTGACAGTAAGAGCTGTTTGACAGTGGAGCGGACTCCCTCAGGAGGTTGCGGACTCCTTCCTTGGATGTTTTTAAGCAGATGTGGGATGGCCATCTGTCATGGATGCTTCAGTTGAGATTCCTGCATTGCAGCAGAGGGTTGGACTGGATGAACTTTGGGGTCCCTTCCAACTCTCTGATTATATGATTTGCCCAGGAGAAGTTGGAATGTTTAACCTTTCCCTGCCTAGCCATTTCCCCTTCTGAACATTCTCTCACCCATCACTATTTCACCAGTTGAGTTGCCAGTATGTCTTTCCTTGTAAAGCAGGGAGCAGCTGTTGAGGGGAAAGTTACAGAGAAGACGCAGTGGGCTGGAGAAAAATTGAATGGTCTATCCTGCATGGTCACTCCTGCAAATGTTCCAGATGCCACTTCTCATCAGCAGGCAATATGGAGTAGTCAGGAATCTCTCATCTGCTGTTAAACACCTGGTTCCATTCCATAGCAACAAAAGCCCATGCTCCTGGCCTATGAAATAATCTCAGGTCAGAAAGAGCAGGGCAGCATCTTCACTGTGGACAGGAGGGAGAAAACTGTTTAGTTCACATACGAAGTCAAGTCTATTCTCAAAACAATATATGAACCAAAATGCTGCCATTCCTCTGGATTTTGTCAGGTGGTTCTCCAGCCAAAATATGTATGCATGTGTTATATTAAGGGAAATCCATTGCCCAAATGTGTGTATTAAAAATGTGTATATGAAAAATGCATCAAAGGGTGTGCGTTAGGAGAAATTTGCATTAAAATGCAGGGGGAAATCAGCAAGTGTTTTTTTTAAGCAAATCACAAACCGGTGTGGAAATGTAGAGAACTGAAGACTGGGAACATGAAAAAGGAGGAGAAACAGGAATCAGCAGATTTGCCCATCCCTAACTGCTAACTAATGACTTTACAGAGGTGTAGCAGTTGTGTCCCATCCTACAAACTTCCTTGACAAAGGGTGAGAATCATTTTGCTCCCTTCTTCGCAGGGCTCTGGCACTTTGTCGATGTAATTGCAATCCAAAGAAGGAAACACTCTCACACTAAACCTTGCACCTCTTGGCCATCAGTAACAGAGTCTAATGGATGTTTTCCATTGATTTATAGGAGCTGAATACCCCAAGCAGCACTTTTATGCAGGTTCGCATTGCTAATACAAACTCTACACTAAGCTTTTCTCAAGTCATCTCCGCGGAGTGCGCCCTAATGGTCAGGCAGGATAATTCATTATCGGCACGTCTTACAAGTTGTCATCTCAACCATCACATAGAAGCTTCTTCTTCTGCGATGCAACTGGCAGCTCTATGGCTCCATATATCAATATTGCATGACAGTCCAAGGCAGGGGGGAGGGAGAACTCCTTGAAGACAAATATTCCAAAGCCAACTGGAACAGGAGGGAGGTAATTACTAGGAATGGGATTTGCCCTAGACACTACCCATCTATATATATCATAGGCAAAGTGCCACAATATCATTAACAACCACAGGTGTCCAAGACACCTCATAGCATTGCATTGGAAGGTAAACTCACAGATGACAGATGTTCACTCCAAACTTTTAAGACAGCGTTGAAACCTAACAAGTCCTTTGTCCTGCAGTATTTCACATTTCCTCTTGGAAATCCCACTCCATCCTACGCCTCGTTCTCTGTTCTATCTGTCTTTCCCCTTTTCCTTTGTCGTCTTGGTTACGTGGCCAGGCTCCTGATATGCCTGCTCATTTTCATTTTAATAATACACTCTTGTAAAGCACAATATTTTACTTCAATTGCATGTGTCACTGGGAAAAAAATCCTTTGACGTGGATGACATTTGTATATCAACCAACTGGTGCTGCTTTATGATTCCAGGTACTTTGCAATCGGATGTCTCGGAAGCCTGAAATATGATCTGTATCATCTTTTATATGAACGTATAAACAACAAACATCAATCAATTCTGAAACTGCATGAGGGAAAAGGAGGCGAGAAAAGTTTTCCTAACTGCTGTCTAAATTCCTTAGCAACAAGCCAGCAGGTAGAATGGACTCACATCACAAGGAAAACACATCACAAGAGGATGGTGGTGGTAATGATTTATTCAGCACTTTAGAATGTCCAAGTGCCCATATCTTGTTGCAATTCTTACAAGAGCCCAGTAAGAAAGGCCAAGATTTCTGTCTCTACATTTGCTTGCCAAAGGCCACCTAATGAACTCATTCTCAGGCAAGATTCAACCACGGGTGTCCTACCAATGGTACCATGTGGTATGGGAAACAGCCTTACTAGAAAAATTAACCAATAAACTGAAACTGACACGGGGACAAATAGAAGAAGACGCCTTCACGCCGGTATGGCTCCCCTTTATCACATACACAGCCCAACAAGACAACAACAAGAATCCACCAACAGCATATGAATAAATATGGCTAACCTGATTCAAAAACACCCATCCACCCCACTCACACATGACAACACAGTTCACCACAGACAATCACAAACAAGCAACCACACCATAGGCCAACCCCAACTTCTCTCACCACCAAAGGAACACAAGCAAATAGCCAGGAAAACCCGCACAAACGATGCTGACACAAAACCCCACACATACATTAAGTAAAATAGAAACATTGCCACCTGACGCCACCCACCACGGCTCCCTCCACCTCTTCCCCCATTTTCTTCCTAATGTAACACTAATGTCTCATTAAATGAAACTGACCTGTAGAAAATGTAACTTGAAAAAAGAGACATTGCACATACAATGGATGCTTGGGTTGCGAACGTGATCCGTGCGGGATGCACATTCGCAACCCGCTGCATTTGCAACCCGCAGCGTTCGCAACCCGCAATGGCGCATCTTTGCACAGGTTGCGATTTGGTGCTTCTGCGCATGTGCAAAGTGCGATTTAGCGCTTCTGTGCATGCGAGACCACCAAAACCCGGAAGTAACCCATTACGGTACTTCCGGGTTTTGGCGGGTCCGTAACCCCCAAAAAACCCCGTATGGGACAGCTGCACATCCCTGCATTGCAAGAGGTTGAACTAGATGACCCTCAAGGTCGCTTCCAGCTCTACAATTCTGTGATTCTATGATCTATATGCCGCCTTTCAGCCCAAAAGGCTCCCAAGGCACCTCTCAAAAATAAACAATTACGTAAAGGTAAAGGTAAGGTAAAGGTAAAGGGACCCCTGACCATTAGGTCCAGTCGTGGCCGACTCTGGGGTTGCGGCGCTCATCTCACTTTATTGGCCGAGGGAGCCGGCATACAGCTTCCGGGTCATGTGGCTAGCATGACTAAGCCACTTCTGGCGAACCAGAGCAGCGCACGGAAACGCCGTTTAGCTTCCCGCCGGAGTGGTACCTATTTATCTACTTGCACTTTGACGTGCTTTCGAACTGCTAGGTGGGCAGGAGCAGGGACCGAGCAATGGGAGCTCACCCCGTTGTGGTGATTCGAACCGCCGACCTTCTGATTGGCAAGTCCTAGGCTCTGTGGTTTAACCCACAGCGCCACCCGCGTCCCTCAAACAGATACATACAAATACAATAATGTGAACGTGAACAACGCAAGTGATAGAAATCCAAAACATTTCCTGCACTCGTTCCAGCAAAGTCTGTATTAATATTATTTTTGCTTCATCCTTCTTAGGCAACAACTAATATAACCCCACCACAAAGTATTTCGGCTCCCTCTACACATCAAATGTGGATGCCAATTTGATGGTCTTATGTCTGGAATAGCAATGAGCACAGCTAGGAGGTCTTTTTTCCTTTTCTTTTTACACCTTCGTGCTGCGAAAGGGCTGCAGCTTGATTGGGAAGAGGGCGGAGAGGAAGAAAAAAGCTTCAAAACCAGAAAGGACCCCTTCATCCTTTTTATTATTTCTTTATCAGAGAGAGAAGACAAGCACGGAGACCAAAACTTTCAGATCTGTCGGAAGCATATGTGTGGAATTATTTGTTGCTTATAACACTCACCCCCCCCCCATGCAGTCCCTGCAAGCAAAAGCCCCTATATATGAAGGGGAAATAGAAAGGCATACAGTGCTTTTAATGCTGAGCAAAAAAGATGGGGTGGGGGTGTCAGAGGGAGAAACAAGCAAACCACTACTGATACTGCCCACTCAAGAATTTAGTAACTCCAAAATTCAGAGAAAATGAATAGAAACAGAATCTAACAGGGCTGACATCTCAATGTTACACAAGCGCATTTTCCATGCTACCATGGAATTGGGGTTTTCAGTCATAAAATGAAAAGACAAAACTCCCAGTTCTAACCCACGATAACCCATAATCTAAGCCGGGGTGGACAACCTGCTTTGACCTCCAGATATTGATGGATTCCAGCTTCCCTCTGCCCCAGCCAACACAGCCAATGGTCAAAGATGATGGAAGTTGTAGTCCAACAATAGGACCACAGGTCACCTGCCCTTGCTCTAAAGCCCTCCTCAACCTGTCTTCACCTTCCACACCTAGAGAGGCATGTGCAAAAATGGAGCCTCTTGTGTGCAGGACTCTGCCTTTAAATAGTCTCCTGGCCTAGTCTCTCTCCCACTTTAAGTAAGTATTAAAAGGCAATGTTTTATCATTTGCTTTCTCGCTTGATTTGGCATCGCCCCCTATTTCCAGGTTAACTTCTGCATTCTTTTTGCACTCTGTCACTCTCTCACAAAATAGGCAAATCCCCACCCCCCCTTGCATCAATCTTGTCCTTTTGCATCAATCTTTTCTTCTTCTTCATTGTGAGCCTGAGTGTAAGGACATCATGAATTGCATCCAACTAAGTTCTACTCAGAGAAGACCCATTGAAATGAATGAACCTAAGTTAGTCATGTTCATTATCAGCTTCAAAGATTCAGACTAGCACAGGATACATAAACACACCACATACACAATAAATGAATAAAAGGAGATTCACCATATTTAAGTTCAGAACTTGCTGGCTTTGACATGCAATACCTAATACATAGAAGGCCTTTTTAGTTTTCTTTTCTTTTTAACAGTAACCACAGTGAGCTGATCAGCGATAATGAGTTTTAACCTCATGCAACTTGCAACTTAGAGCGGGCAGTTGCTCCTCCCCTGCCCTCATTAAATGGTACCACCGCTGCTGACATCACCATCCTGAGGACCAAAACCCAGGAAGGGTCAAGTCAATCACTAGGAGCAGTGTAGAAATGCAGTATTGCTCGTGGAGAGCAGCGACATCATGAATATGGATTTCAGACTTTATGTCATGCTTGGGGGAAATAATCCGATCTAAAGTCCAAATGATCTCCATCCAAGGAGAAGGTTCATTCTACAGTTCCTTTTTTAAAAAACTGTTTTAAGGAAAAGACAGCCACTTAATCATTCATCACTAGAAAATTTCAACATTCAAAAAGACCCAGTAAGTTAGCAAAGGTACAACATTCCACAAGAAGGCAAGTATCTCCTCTTCCGAGAACACAATACGTGCGTAGACAGTTAAACCACCAGGCAGAACATACCAAGCCAATCTCTCTCCACTGGAAGGTCACCTCCAATGGATCTTGAGAGACAATCAAAACACCTGCCAAAAACTCAGAGTTAAATGCCTCCTTCAGCCTTTGCTTTGGCTCCAGAATACAAATACTGATGGCCCCACATGATAAATTGGAATTGATGTAATAGAGGAAAGCCGCAGCAAAGACAAGGGTGAGCTTCCCATTCTCTTGGATGGTGCCCAAGGGAGATCAGACCCTGAGGAAAGGACGCCTATTTATATCCAGTCCCTGGTGGCAACCCAGTAAATACAATCAACAAAGAGTTCTGTGACACTTCCAAGACTAACAAATTTATCGAGGCATAAAACTTTTGTAGGACAGAGTATGTGTTCTACTCTGAGGCTCTGGCCCAGAACAGCTTGTGCTAAAATCAATTTGTTAAGAAGCCTTTAAGGTGCCACAGAACTCACAATTTTTATTTTTGCTGCAAAGGATTAATATAATCACCCCTCTGGAATTTGTCACTGGTCAACAGAACACTTAACATGACTTCCTTTTCATACATTGGAAGGAATGGGAATAAAGACTACTTTCCACAAAGCCACCAGTAACTTCTGCGACAGATTAAACTCTGCCATTCCACCACATCATGCAATACACAAGCTGGCTTTAAGAAATCATCTTTATCGTACTTCCAAATGCTAATGGACATCCTAGGGCAGTAGCCTTCAGCTTTTCCAAGCCGAGGAACCACCTTTAACATGCATTTGGTGAGACATTTCTTAATTTTCTTTTACCATATTGGTATGGTGATAGTCCTGCTGTTGTGATCTTAGATCAGGTTGTGACCTAGTTGTGATCCCTGATCCGCAAACTGAAAACCTGTTGTCCTAAAATACATTCCACTCAACAGATTGCAGAATTGTTGTGCTAATTTGCTTTGGCTTGGCCTGTTCCCAGATAACTGCTCTCTCTTCCTTCACACAGGCCAAACTTTGGCAGAAATAGCCCTCAGATAACATAAACCTACGCATCCATACCATTTCACAAGTCTTCTTTGCTACGGACCACATCAAGTTAGGAAAAGCCAGGCCTACCTTTTTCAGCTTGCCACTCTTGGTGCCCACAAAAGCCAGGGAGTGGTTCTTATAGACATAAGCAATGACGGACGTCATCCTGTCCTTGTCTTCTGTTAAGACGGGGAGTCCTCGTACCATTTCAGATACTCCGAGTGGGGCATTCATATCCAGGCCACAGAAATTATCATCAATTGTTAACAGCTGCAACAAAAGGAAGAATGAGAGAGAGAATCTCTGTTAAGGGGACAGGTTGATCTGCTGTGGGAAGCAAAGAACCTTTCTAATTTCTCAAATATTTTGCAAGTGGGCAGTGAACAACAGGAGTTGTTTTGATGGCCACAACTGAAGCTAGCCTTTCTCTTAAAAAGAGCACTGAGCAATACGGTGGTGCCTATCAGAAAGGTTAGGTCTCAGTTTGTGGAATGCAGGTGGCGCTGTGGGTTAAACCACAGAGCCTAGGACTTGCTGATCAGAAGGTCGGTGGTTTGAATCCCTGCGACGGGGTGAGCTCCCGTTACTCGGTCCCTGCTCCTGCCCACCTAGCAGTTTGAAAGCACATCAAGTGCAAGTAGATAAATAGGTACCACTCCGGCGGGAAGGTAAACGGCGTTTCCATGTGCTGCTCTGGTTCACCAGAAGCGACTTAGTCATGCTGGCCACATGACCTGGAAGCTGTACGCAGGCTCCCTCGGCCAATAAAGCGAGATGAGCACCGCAACCCCAGAGTCGGTGATGACTGGACCTAATGGTCAGGGGTCCCTTTACCTTTATATATGTTGGAAGCTGCCCAGAGTGGCTGGAGCAACCCACTCAGATGGGGAGGGTATATTATTATTATTAATAATATTATTAATATTATTATTATTATCCCTATTTTCATCGAGGGATGCTGCAGCTGTCAAGGGAGAAGGAGCAGAATGCTAGCTTTGCTCCTGGATCTGTGGTTCAACACATCCCCTGCAGCTCTGCATCCTGACATCGGCAGCTGAGTCCTCTTGCTGACATCACAGGGGATCTCTTGGCATGAGATGCCAGACAAGGATTAAAGCCATATCCTTTTTCCCTCCTCCTGATTCCGCATGCACTTGGAAGCAGATTGGCAGCACAGTGCGGAGTCCAGGTGCCAAAGAAGCCTGAGCCATTGCCTAGCAATGGCTGGAATGAGCCTCAACTGTCCTTTAAACATCTGCTTTAAAATGTACCTCTCCAGATAATTGCGATCACAGCCAAATCCACATTTTGGGAGAAGTCCTAGCTGAAGGATTAGCACCTCCTCCTGCCGTCCCTCCTCGCTTTCACTTTGGCAGTCCGTCTACCCCTACGTCAGAGCTTAGCCAGGCCTCTTGGAAAGGGAGACCTATTACTGAATCCTACAAAAGCCCCTGCCTCAGGGACTGGGGCTGCCACTGGCCGGCTGTAAATCTGTGATCAGCTCGCTTTATTCCTTCAGTTACTTGGGGAACTATAATTCGCTCATTTGATCGCTGTGCTTCTTCCAACATCAAACATCGCCTTGCGGAGAATAAAAGAGGCAGGGTGGACTGTTGAGATCATCTATTAGTTCAACCTCTAGCCAATGTTGGTCCTACTCAAAGGAGACTCACTGAAATGAATGCACATTTATTAAGGAGTTGTTGGACTAGGTGACCCTCATAGTCCCTTCCAACTCTATGGTCCTGTAATTCTATGGCTCTAATTAGGTCTATTAATTCAGTTGGTCTACTCTGAGTAAAATGTGGTTGGATACAACCCTGGATCTGCAATGCAGGATGCAACTCACTCATAGAATCATAGAACTGCAGAGTTGGAAGAGACCACTACAGTCATCTAGTCCAACTCCCTGCCCTGCACACTAATTACAGAATTCTTCATTTGCCTGTGCAATTTCATTTTGTTAATTATTTGCTGAGAATTTCATTGTGCAACTTTTCTTGTGTCCATCCTTTAAGTGGGGTGGACACAAGACTTTTTTAAAACAGGCAGCAACCATTTTAGGCGCAACTGCGCATGTGCGCATCGCTCCAAACCCAAAAGTGACCCGAAAATGTCACAGAAACATCACTAAAAAGGGTGGGGGGGAATGGGGCACTGCGTAAATTGGGAGTTGGCTGTATACTACAGTCATACCTCGGGTTACAGACACTTCAGGTTGCATTTTTTCAGGTTGCAGACCGCTGAAACCCAGAAATACCGGAACGGGTTACTTCCGGGTTTCGGCGGTCGCGCATGCACAGAAGCGCTAAATCGCACTTTGCTCATGCACAGACGTGCCGAATCGTAACCCATGTGTTTGCAGACGTGCCATTGCGGGTTGCGGATACTGCGGGTTGCGAACGTGCATTCCGCAAGGATCACGTTCGTAACCCGAGCGTCCACTGTACTGGGTGATTATTTTAGTGTTTTAGTTTATTGCTGTTTTTAAACTGGCTGCCACACTCTGCCTACAGAGAAATCACTGACAATTAATTTGGCAGTCAACCAATGCTTCCATCCTGCCAGCCCATGGAATCGTCAGGTGACCTCAGAGAGCCAATCCCACACTGCTGCCTCTTCCATAGCCCCAAGGTCTGCACATTCTCTCAGTTTGGGCAGTTCATTGCTGAGAGAAGATGTTGAAGTATTCCCATATGCTCCTAAGTTACTTCTCTGCCTACCCGCTCATCTTTTCACTCAGGGTACTTGCCACCTCTTCATGGAAAGGGCTTGGATCCTGGCACCCAACAGTTTGTTTATTTTAATAGCATTTATTCAAAGGTTACACTACAGCTTTGACCGCTGCCGTAATATCACAGAATGATCACTCCAGTCCTCAATCCCACATCACTGTCATGTTGGCTTGCTGAATATCCTCACTTGGAACCCAGCTACCAATCAGGTGGGCTAGACATTTTCAAACAATATATCCCCTCCACAGACACGTCTGTGATGATGATGATGGCATTAAAATATCCTGTCTGTCCTTCTTCAGTAAAAGAGAAAAAGGGAGACCAGGTCATGTCAAAGGTGGTTTTTTTGTGTGCTTTTTTGGAAATGCCTTTGATTAGTCACCGATGGTATGTGAGGCATTCTGATGTTATCAATTCAAGCCTCTGTTGGTACAGTGGCACCTCGGGTTAAGAATTTAATTCGTTCTGGAGGTCTGTTCTTAACCTGAAACTGTTCTTAACCTGAGGTACCACTTTAGCTAATGGGGCCTCCTGCTGCTGCCGCTGCACGATTTCTGTTCTCATCCTGAAGCAAAGTTCTTAACCTGAGGTACTATTTCTGGGTTAGCGGAGTCTGTAACCTGAAGCATCTGTAACCCGAGGTACCACTGTATTCTAAAACGGCCTCGGCCCAGTATACCTGGGCCCAGTACACCCCCATTGTTCTGCCCAGACACTGAGGTCCAGCTCCAAGGCCCTTCTGGCGGTTCCCTCCCTGTGAGAAGTGAGGTTACAGGGAGCCAAGCTGAGGGCCTTCTTGGTAGTAGTGCCGGCCCTTTGGAACGCCCTCCCACCAGATGTCAAAGAAATAAACAACTCCCTGACTTTTAGAAGACATCTGAAGGCAGCCCTGTTTAGGGAAATTTTTAATGTTTGATGTTTTATCGCTTTATTATTATTATTAATAATAATAATAATAATATTCTGTTGGGAGCTGCCCCGAGTGGCTGAGGAAACCCAGCCAGATGGGCGGCGTATAAATAATAAATTATTATTATTATTATTATTATTATTATTATTATTATTTGAGGTGTCCTCCCATCGCTGGGCAATAACTAGTCTAGCTGCTGTGGACAGGAAGGAAATTAATTCTTTAGATGTAAGGGTAGAATTTGGGTTCGAATCTAGTGATAATATGGCAAGTGCCGAATTAGGAAGGATAGAAGGTTTGGTGATTTTGGAGGCCAGGTAAAAAACTTTTCGCAGAAAGGCATGGACCTTTCAGCCGAGAGTTAACATGAAAACGTAACTCCGGTCTTATCCCACTGGTGCCCTCATTCCATCAGGTCTCCAGCAAGATAATGGGAGTTGGATGGGGAGACGCCGTTCAGAGCTGCATCCTAATCGCACACCGCATGTCATTCGTGCCAGCGCAGCAGTGGTTACCGTGCAATTACATGCCACTATGTATAAGTGACAATGCAGTTACAGCTACTTTACCAATTACAGGGGAATTGCAACCCTGAAGCTAAGAGGTTTTTCACTCAGATGTAATTTAGGCAAGAACAGAAGAGAGAATGAAGTTGCTCAAATTTACTGGGAGTTGTGTCTGTGGCTGCTCGGGTTTTTATTTTATTTTATTTTTGCATCAGATCAAGGAGTGGTGTCAAGTTTCCAGAGAACTATAGAATCTTAATGTGCCACAGACTTTGTCGCCTGTCTTTGCTATCACCACACTTCCCAACATATGGCTTCAGGCAATAATATAGCATGTACCATGCGTCGTAAAATGTGCAATTTCCTGGAAGGAAGGCTGCATTTCTCTTAGACCAAAGGTTTCCTTCCTGGTGAGTCAAGCAGGCCTTTCATGGGTTACGTTTCATGAGCAAAAGCAAAGACCGCGTTAGTTTTCCAGGAGTAAAGTACACTTTTTAAGAGCATTTGATCCAAGGCGGCATAGAACTCCTTTTGGGGCTATATCAGCACTACAAACATATCAAATGTGTACCTGCTGAACTGTCATGGCTGCCAGAGAACCCTAGAAATTGTAGTTTAACAATAGTGCTGGAAATTTTATGTTGGGGAAATATTTCCAACACCTCAGAACTGCAGTTTCCATAGTTCCCTGAGTAGTTGAAATAACCATTAATTGTTAGTGTGTGGCAACTCTTCGAATATCATAATTGTCTCTTCTACAAGCGAAACATAGCAAACTTCTTCAACCTTTCCTCATAGTCATGTGAGGGCTTGCTTCTCCACCACCTTCCAGAAAACCATATGTGCGTTCTCTCTCTCTCTCTCTCTGGTAGGTAAAAGGTAAAGGTAAAGGACCCCTGGACGCTTAAGTCCAGTCAAAGGCAACTGTGGGGTTGTGGGGTTCATCTCGCTTTTCTGGCAGAGGGAGCCAGCATTAGTACTCAGGCAGCTTTCCGGGTTCTGTGGCCAGCATGACTAAACTGCCTCTGGCGCAACGGGACACCGCGATAGAAACCAGAACGCACGGAAACACTGTTTACCTTCCCGCCACAGCGGTACCTATTTATCTATTTGCACTGGCGTGCTTTTGAACTGCTAGGTTGGCAGGAGCTAGAACAGAGCAATGGGAGCTCACCCCGTCACGGGGATTTGAACCGCTGACCTTCTGATTGGCAAGCCAAAGAGGCTCAGTGGTTTAGACCACAGCACCACCCAGTAGGTAGGGTAGCAGGGAAGGCTTAGAAGAAGCTTGGGTTATCAACTGGCATAAGGGGCAAGGTGGTGTGATCCAAAAGCAGAAGCAGCTGTTGCTTTTCAGAACAAGGAGGTGTGCACTGCAGCTACATTAGCAGGTGAAATGTAGAGCTGGAACGAGCAAACCTGTCCATTTTGGTTTATCTCGGCTTCCCATTTGTTGAGTTATAAGTTCAGTTTCCCACATTACCATCTCGGTTCAACAATTCAAAACAAAACAAAAAAAATCCATGTTTTTGTGTTTTTTATCTTGTATCTTGATGCTGTGAACTGCCTTGAGATGTTAAGATGAAGGGCTACATACAAATTAAATAAATAAATTGCAAAATTCAGAGGAGTATGAATTTTGTAGGATAGATGTTTCACTTCTTGCTTTGTTTCAGAAAGTGGAAGCTGAAGACTGAATCAAATTTCTCCTCCAGCCTTAGCTGAAAGGGACATCACGATACAATCCAGCTGCTACTCCTCTTTAAAAGATCAAGTGTGCCCAGAACGAACCAACCAATTACTTGCTGGGTCCTTTCACAGAGGCGAATAGTGAAGAAGACACTTTCCACCCTAGTCTCCCTTTTCCAGCACTCCACAGCAAGAAAGTTCTTCATAAGTACCAACCCAAGTCCTTCTGGATGAAGTTTCTTTCTACAGCTACCCCTTTCCATCGCACCCTGGAGTTTTGCACCATGCCATCCAAATCCATAGTTCACTTTTCAGGCTTTCAGCTCCGTTTGTGTCACCTGCAAATGCTCAGGTACCGTCATTCCGAATCCATCGTACGGAAGCGAACACACCTCAAAGCAAGCCCAGGTGCAGCTGGAAACCTGGCACTAAGGCAGCCTCTGCCGAAGAGCAATTAGCATAATTATTATTTTGTTTTGCAGGCAAAATTGCGACTTGGGCTCCTAAGCGCCTCGGCGTGTGTGACAACAGTGCTTGATAAAATTTCAAAACAACAACAGAGAACGTTTGGCTTGGCATTTCTGGAGCATCTTGGCCCAACTTGAGATTCCTCAGCAAACTGGCAAGCATCCCTGAGTTATCCTGAGAAGGTAGGGGTTTAGCGAAGCAGCCGTTGCTGTGGCAAATGCTGCAATGAAGGTGCCTATCGGGCCATTCACGAGTTAAAAGTCTGATCCTAACCATGTTATGTCAGAAGTAAGCCCTACAGATTTCAATGGGATTTACTCCGACATAGTTATGTGCAGCTTTAAGTGGGACGTGTGCAGCATATTCCCATTCGTTTCAACAGGTCTGTCTCACACCAAACATTCCCAGCATAGGGGGCCCTGAGAGGGAACGTGCAAAACCTCTGCTGTTTGCAATACCTCTTCTCTTATTTTGGTATTTAATACCCCCATCAGTGCAAAATTGCACTTCTCTAGGGCACACCTATCTATGCATGTGGGAATACAATTATTATTGTTTTTTTAAGGATAAAGGTAAAGGTAAAGGGACCCCTGACCATTAGGTCCAGTTGTGACCGACTCTGGGGTTGCGGCGCTCGTCTTGCTTTATTGGCTGAGGGAGCCGGCATACAGCTTCCGGGTCATGTGGCCAGCATGACTAAGCCGCTTCTGGCGAACCAGAGCAGCGCACGGAAACACCGTTTACCTTCCCACCGGAGCGGTACCTATCTATCTACTTGCACTTTGACGTGCTTTCGAACTGCTAGATTGGCAGGAGCAGGGACTGAACAACGGGAGCTCACCCCATCACAGGAATTCGAACTGCCAACCTTCTGATTGGCAAGTCCTAGGCTCTGTGGTTTAACCCACAGCGCCACCCGTGTCCCTTTTTTTAAGGATAGGTGATCTTATAAGCTGTTGTTCTGCAAATTAGTGCACATCAAAACATTAGTGTGCATGGTTCCCAACTGGAAGGTACAGAGACTGAGTTTCTGCTTTAACTTCCGGGGTGGCGCCATCAGCAATGGCGGACTCCCTCTGATCTGGAGGGACTAGCTCCATGCGAAACGGGTCTTTTCCGCTACGGCGAGGCGGGGACCCTTTCAAAAATCACAGGCAGATGAAGCCTGTGACCATGGGACTCGGCGGGCACCTTTAGCGCCCCCCCAACCCGCAAAAGAACCCACTAACGGGCTCCGGAGCGAAGAGGGGGAAGTGGCGCGGTGCTGAGAGTCAACTGCTTCTTCCGTGGAGCGAAGCTGCACAGCCGTTGCCGGAGAGCGCTGCCTTTTTCCTGGGACAATTTGGCTTCTAAAATAATCACCCGTGAGTACTTAAATTTCGGACAATTGGACTTTAAATAAGGACTTGCGAGCAGAAAGGAAAATTGGACTTAAAAGTTTACCTCAATTTGGCACTGAAACGGGAAGGTCCAAACAGGAAGTCAGTCTTCCGTTTCTTTGTAGATAGATTAAAGCAAAGACATGGCAAACTAGAGCTCAGAAAATTGCTTGTAAAAGATTAACTTTCATCATTTAAAATTGTTGAACCCCCCTTCGGAAGCAGGAGAAGAGGGGGGATTTTTTCGGTCTGTTTAAACCTGCAGAAGTGAGTGTAAAGTAAAGTAACTTTCCACCGTCCTGATCCTGGAGCAGGGTGTCAGGACTGACGTTTTTTGAAGCTCATTGACCAGAGACAAACGTTTTTGACAGATAGCTATAAGAAGAGAAACATTGATTCCATTGTTCCCCTTCGCATTTTAAAGGAACAAATATTGACAAAATATCTGAAAAAGGAAACTTTGTTGTTAGACTTGTCTTTAAAAGAAAGAACAAATAGAAGTTTTCACCCTAGAGGGAGACTGTGAAACTGTAACCAACTCCGGGAGCTTGCAGCTGTTACAGATTACAATCGTGGGAATAGACTTCTGACCTTGCAGGACAATGTATTCAGAAGCTCTGTCGCGTGCTTTCTGTAAAACAAATGCCCTACTGGAACAGCTACATGAGAAGACGAACTTGATGACTGATGCGATCAGAAATTTTGAACAGGCAGTGGGAAATTATATGGAGCCCACCCAGGAATTAAATCAGGAGTGTGCCCTGACAGAACAGATGAGGGAAGAGGATGTTACTGAATCTTGGGCGCCAGAGAAGAAGGGAGCTGTGGCCCAGCAGGAACATGAGCTTTTGGACTTGACAAATGAACTTGGAAAAAGCCAGACTTGGAAAGATAAAGTTTGGTTTGGTTTGGAAATGGGGGGTTGGATAGACCCCCCTATGCAGGGATGTTTGGACCTTTCAAGTCTGGCAATGGGCCGTGAGATGTTTGGGGTTGTGGGGGCTCTTAATTTTGGAGGGATTTTGAAACATGTTCTTAAATACCACATGGAGTTTAGTGTGGACTGTGGAAAAGGGGCTGATTTGTCGAGAAGGGTCAAAAACATTGTTAAGCTGGAGTTCCCACGAGTGAAAGGAGCAGGAGACAAAGGAAAATACAGTTATAAATTTGAAGAAGAGCTGCGGAAGGGACATGGAAGAGACTTAAGGGCCTCGGATACAAGGTTACCAGGTTAATGCGCTAGATCGATGGGATATTAAGGACTGACAAAACCCGGGACCAGGAGGAAGGGACGCTGGATGAAGATTGGATTGTTTTTATTTCTTTTTTTTTACTACTAGGATTGTTTTATAAAATTGATGAATGTTAGAAAAATGTTGGAACGAAATTACTTGGCTTTAGCAAAAATGTTTAAAGAATTATGTAAGAATATTATGGTTATGAGAAGTTGGTAAAAATAAGATTCAAGTTTTAAGCTTTAAGGTTCTTTATAGTAAGATAAGGTTAAAATAGATTAAGGTAATGTAATGACAGAATATTATGAAATATGGAAAGGATTTGCTGCGACAATTAACAACTAGGATACAAAAAAAGGGAGGAGGAGGAGGTCAAAGAAAGAAGGTAATGACAGTTGAGGATTTGAGAATGATGGATTTGTTTTTGAGTGTTTGTGGTGTATTTTTGTTTTTTGAATTTGTATTGTTTGATGTGGTTTGGGGTTTTTTTGTTTTTTCTTTCTCTTTTTCTGCTTTGTTCTCTTTTGTAATTCTAAAAATTTTCAATAAATATCATTTTTAAAAAAAACAAAAACAAAATAGAAACAAAATCTCTTAACTGCGACCTAGAGGAGGAGCTGTTGTCTTTTCTCTATTGAACTGAACCTCAGAGAGGATTGAGAAACATCAAGGTCAGGCACAGGCAAACTCAGCACTCCAAATGTTTTGGGACTACAGTTCCCATCGTCCTTAGCTAACAGGACCAGTGGTCAGGGATGATGGGAGTTGTAGTCCCAAAACATCTGGAGGGCTGAGTTTGCCTATGCCTGACCAAGGTTCAAAGCTTCTTTGAGGCCCAGTGTGATATTAGAGAGATGCCCTGCACTTCTTCTGAGCCTGGAAAAGGTCCTCAAACCTAGTTTGGAAAGTCTCAGAATATGGGAAGAAAGCTAATTATGAGTGCCTCTGAGACTGAGCGCAAAGTCTGGGAAAATCAGAACCTTTTTTAAAAAAAGGGGGGGGATGTGCTTGCCACTGGTTGCAAGCAATTATACAGGCTTCTGACATGGCCAGATCCGGGGTGCTTCTCTGTAGCTGTGATGATGCAACTTCCACTGTCAAACAAAAAAACCCTCGCTGCATCCCTAGCCCTAAGCAATTTCAGACGGCATCTGCTAGGATGGTGTGTGGGTGTTGCTTCTGTTTTAACAAAGTACAAAAACTTGTGAAGGCAAGCAGAGTTCCCACCCACACCCTCCCTTTGCAGATGTCACAGCCCTGGGGTCGGAGAGGGATTTGGCTCTGGGAACGGAGCTAAATCCAGTTGAGCCCATTACCACACTGCTCAACAGAATGATTATTGTGCAAAACTCAAGTCGCGCCGCAGCCCCCAGACCAGCGGTGCTTTAAATAGCACCCAAACGTCTCTGTGAAGGAGCCTCTGATACTTTGCTTCCAGCTCTCTGGCTCCCCGGTTCTGTTTCCCTTTCACTTGGTTTAAAGAAGAAGGGAAGGGGGCAAAAGAGCCTCTTGCGTAATGATTCCCTTCAGCTTACTAACTGGCAAAGCAACATAACAGCAAGGCAATGTGAGGTCAGGTTTGGCTATAAGCGGCATGTAAACAACAGCACGGAGGAGCATGCAGGAAACTGCCAGCAAGGCCACATGTGACAAAAACCTACTGAACCACATACGAAAGCAGCCGGGGTCCCCTGCAGCAATGCCAGGCACAGCATCTAAAATCAACTCCTTCCCGAGTAAATCTAATCGGTCGTGAGGCGTACGGCGAAGATTTACTTGCAGCTGCCAAGGGAAAGCTCTGAAAAACTCGGGCTGGGGAGGAAGGTTTGGGGAGAGGGGAACAGGCAAAGAAAGGATCCCCTGGGCAAAGTTCACCTGCACGAGGAGCTGATTAGGATCACCGTCCTGTCCAGGGCGAGAATGTATCTGCCCCGGGGTGGTGGGCCAATCGCACAAAGAGCAGGCATAATATAGGCTCTGCAGAGAGGGCATCGGGGAGGAGGATTTTGCCTGAAATATCTCAGACACAATAGCACCAGTCAGCCGCCCCAGGCCCTGTTCCACCCTGAATGAGCATGTTGTGTGAGAAGGGTCAAGGGGGGGAACAAGAAGTCAAGGCACAGCGATGCTTTAAGTTGGGAAGGCTTGGCAAGCGGCCAGTTAAAGGGCCAGGCCGGTTTTCGAGACTCCTTTTCCCTCTGCAGTGTCTTATTTGAGCACACCATCGTCCTCACATCCATCAGCCTCACTCAGAAAGCCTGGAGACAGAAGAACCTCTTAGAGGTGGCCTCGTATAGGCAGCATTTCATTGCTGTTCAAACAAGCATTGCAGGATTGCAAAGCACTATGAAAGCTTGCAGACCTACTTGATCCGAAATAACAGTGAATCGAAGTGTGCACAGTGCAGGCAATGATAACTCTGCTGTTCACCCTACAACTTTGTTGAAATTTACTGCCTGCCTTCAGCCATAATTGGCTCTATGATGTCAGACAGGGCTGACCCAGAAGCACTTTCCTGCACAGAACTCTTCTGTTTTTTATAATACTTGAAGCCAAAATGAAAAAAGCGTAAAACTAGTGTTGAGCTGAAAGTTCTCAAAGGATAACTTTCAGCTCAAAGTTACAGGGAGCTTAAGAGGTTGAAAGGGGAACCAAAAGTGCTAATTTCATAGAGTTGTGGAGTTAGAATCATCTAGTCCAATTCTCTACAATGCAGGAATATGCAGGTGCCCCATACAGGGATTGAACTTGCAACCTTGGCCATCAGAAGAAGAAGAAGAGTTTGGACTTGATACTCCGCCTTTCATTCCCTTTAAGGAGTCTCAAAGCGGCTAACAATCTCCTTTCCCTTCCTCCCCCACAACAAACACTCTGTGAGGTGAGTGAGGCTGAGAGATTTCAGAGAAGTGTGACTAGCCCAAGGTCACCCAGCAGCTGCATGTGGAGGAGTGGGGAAGCGAACCCGGTTCACCAGATTACGAGTCCACCGCTCTTCACCACTACACCACGCTGGCTCTCAGTGCCTAACCAGTTGAGCTACTCAGGCTCCCAACTGCCCCCTTGCTTTGCTGCTGCCAGTTCTGCAGTGACAGGTCCCCTTGATCCCAGTCCCATCATTGACCCATGGAGGATCTGAATTCAGAGGAACTCCAGTTCACCCAGGGAAGAGCGCTTAGCGCCCTCTGCTGCACCCTCCCAGCCTGAGGACATGGCTCTCTCTGATTCTGGGGAAGACTCCCTTGTGGCTTCTCCTCCTCCATAGCCACAAATGTGACTGCGGAACCAGCTATGGATCCCCAGAGGGCTGCAGCCAGCCACCCCTGGGTGGTGGAGTCACTGGAAGGAAAATACCCTGCCAGTCTTTTTAAGCCCTCGGTCCTTCACTGAGACATCATCTATAGCCTAGACAACATAGTCCATAGCTCTGCCAACAGGGCCTACTGGGAGCTGTCCAGCATCCTGACTAGGACTTAACCTACCCTGGCGGGACTTGACTTGCCCAGACTTGATCTGAATGGAAGAGCAGTCCTTTCTTTTGTCTGCCACGGATAGCCTTCGCTTCCAATTTGCCCAGTCCTCTTTTAAAACCATCCAAGTTGGTGACTTCTCACTACCTCTTCGTTATATATATTTTAGGGTCCAGGTGAAAATGTTCCTCTTCAGCCAAGCCTTTGGCTGATTAATACTCTACAGCCTTTTAAATGTTTTTGTGGAAAGAGGGGGTTTGCTGTTTTGTTTTAATTATTTACTTGTGTTTTTATCTTGTAGCTTATACCGGGAACTGCTATGAGATCCTAGGACGAAGGGTGGTGTATAAATCTAATTCAATCCATTAATAATACAGGTGGGAAGAGCATGGTTGCACTTGCAACAAGTGCATTAAAATCCAGTCTCTAAAAAGTCCTGAATGCACCTCTTTCCTTCATTTGAATTTATACAACTGACCACGCAATTTTATTTTATTTTTAATGAGGCTTCTTGGCTTCTAAACCAGCTGTCGCCAACCTGGAGTCCTCTAGATTTTTGGACTACAAATCCCATCAGTGCTCCCACCAGGGGCTGATAGGAGTTGTAGTCCAAAATGCCTCGAGGGCACCAGGCCCTCTAAGGCTGTTCTAAACCACAGGCAACCTCTCTTCCATACACAGCATCTTCCTCCCAGCTGCTGAGAAAACAGCAAAGCATGGCTGAGTTACCAACTTCCCGTTTGACTGGCTTGACTCTAGTGGTCACAGCTGCCACTATGGCTCAGCAGCGAAGCGTTCCAGCTTGCTGCAGAAACTGCAGACGCCGGGGCTTCAGCTTGATATTTCACTCTCTTGGTTCCCGCCCCTGCCCTTCCAGCCTGAGCAGCAAAACTTGGCCCTGATCCCTTCCTCCTTTGCAATTATTTGTGCTCATGCCGCACTCCATTACAGCCAGGGACAAGGATGCGGCCAGTCGGAATAGAGGCCCTGGACAAGCAATTACTCTGGGAAGGGAGTGCAGACAGCCAGGCGGAGGGACATAGATGGTTTCCAAAGCCATTTGCCGCTGCACTAAAGCAAAAAGGTGGAGGAGAAAGGAATAGCATGTGTTAGGTGAATGCCTGCTTGGGTTTTTCAACAGGTGGGCCCATTGTATGCAACAGAAGGAGACTGGCGACATGTTTTTGGCACGGGGCATGCAAAAGCTCTCACATTCTTGGAGCAATTCAAAATTAAATGTGTGGCCATCTTGACTTTGAAAAGCCCTTTTAGCAATTATTCAAGGAAGCCCTGAGAACAGGGACAAAGTGCTTGTTCTAAAAGCAGTAGCAGCTGCATTCCCCATTGCTTTGCCCTGAGGAATAGCCCAGTCGGTAAAGCAGGAGATTTTTCATCTCAGGGTCATGGGGGTGAGCCCCACGTTGAATGAAAGATTCCTACATTGCATGGGGTTGGACTACTAGATGATTCTTGTGCTGCCTTCCAACATAAAATTCTATGATTCTTAGTGTTTTCTGTCTGCCTCTTCAGGCCCAAGCTGCCAGGATAAGGACAGGAAGCATTGTCCTCACTCTGACTTGACTTCAATGTTATCCTATCTAGAAAATCAGATGTCACGAAGCCAACTCAGAGGGAGGGTAAAGGTAAAGGTAAAGGGACCCCTGACCATTAGGTCCAGTCGTGGCCGACTCTGGGGTTGTGGCGCTCATCTCGCTTTGCTGGCCGAGGGAGCCGGCGTACAGCTTCCGGGTCATGTGGCCAGCATGACTAAGCCACTTCTGGCGAACCAGAGCAGCGCACGGAAATGCCGTTTTACCTTTCCGCCAGAGCGGTACCTATTTATCTACTGGCACTTTGATGTGCTTTTGAACTGCTAGGTTGGCAGGAGCAGGGACCGAGCAACGGGAGCTCACCCCGTCGCGAGGATTCAAACCACTGACCTTCTGATCGGCAAGCCCTAGGCCCTGTGGTTTAGACCACAGCGCCACCCACATCCCTAGAGGGAGGGTAGCCATGTTTTAAAAGGGTGCTAAGCAGAGGCAGGGAGCAGCAGGTTGCAGAAAACAAGGCAGCCGTGGACAGGAGGCAAAGACTGAGTGAAGAAAGTCATCAAAAGGATGGTTTTCATGTTTTGTTTTACCCACCTCAAGCTCAGTAGCCTGGTGACTACATTGCCTCCCTTCTCTGCCTGAGACCTGGCAGCCTTATCATCCTTATCCTCTAGCGCAGCGGTTCTCAACCTGTGGGTCCCCAGATGTTGTTGGACTACAACTCCCATCATCCCTGAGCTCTGGCCTTGCTAGCTAGGGGTGATGGGAGTTGTAGTTCAACAATCCACAGGTTGAGAAAGGCTGCTCTAGTGCTTAGAGTGCTGGACTAGGACCTAGGAAACCAGGGTTCAAATCCTTGCTCAGCCATGAAGCTCACTGGGTTACACTGGGCCCGTCACTCACTCTCAGCCTAACCTGCCTCACAGGGTTGTTGCGAGGATTTAAATGGTGGACAGAGATCCACGTATGCCACCTGGAGCTCCTTGGAGATACAGGGGGCATATAAATGAAATAAAGAAATAAAATAAAGCTGGCAACCATCATTAAGATATCCCAGAATGCCCTGCTTGGAAGGGCATAGGGGTGGGGTGGGGGTAGAGAATGGCATCCCTGAACTGCCATTCCCATCTCCACTACCACAAAGGGGGGGGGGAATGGCCTTCAGAATGGGGCATTCTGGGGAAAAGAAAAAATGGGTGGTACCGTATTTACCGCTCTATAAGATGCATTTTCCCCCTCCTAAAAAGAAAGGGGAAATGTGTATGAGTCTTATGGAGCGAATGCAGGCTTTGAGGGCTATCCCAGAAGCCAGAACAGTGAGAGGGAGTGCTGTGCAGCGCTCCCTCTAGCTGTTCTAGCTTCTGGCGTAGTCGTGCGAAGCCTCCGCAGGGCAGCGGGGAGCCTTCATCCCACTCCCCTGTGGAGGCTTCGCTCAGCTATCCCTGGCTTTTGCAGGAGATGGGGGAAGGGACAGAGCACGCGGCTCTGTCTCTTCCCCCACCTCCCAGAAAAGCCCCCAAGAGCCACGCTCCCTTTAAAGAGCATGCGGCTCTTGCGGGAGGTCGTGGGAAAGCCAGGAGGCTTGCTTTCGCTGAAGCCAGGAGAGCAAGCGGGATCAGTGCTGCAAAGCCTCCTGAGCGAAGAGGGAGGAGCGCTCCCTCTTCGCTCAGGAGGCTTCTTATTTCTTGTTTTCCTCCCCTAAAAACTAGGTGCATCTTATGGTCAGGTGCGTCTTATACAGCGAAAGATACTGCCCCAATTCCCTTTATTTTTGAAAATGGGGCTGCCGAATGGAGGAAGTTGGCGGTTTGACACAGTTCAAAAGAATTCCCCTCCCAAACTGCACCCACAGACTTGCATTATGTGTCCCCCCCTCACTTCCATCACCACCATTCCTGGCTCAAAGGACAACTGAGGGTTTCTTGTTAGCATCCTGACTTACTGCACTGCTGCAGCGGATATCCTTCACTTTAAGCCAGGCCAAATCCAAAGTGCCTTCGCCCCTATAGCAGGACTGCAGCCTGTCCTTAATGCGGTCGTTAATTCTTTTCAGAGCAAAGATGCACAGGGCCGACTCGTCCAAGGACTTCATCTTCCTCTTCTGCCCCTTGGAGAAGACGGTGAAGAGGACGTCGTCCTCCGGCCTGATGCCCAGTGACCTGGCCAAGATGGCTCCCGCCTTGGACAGGTAGGCCGCCTGCAGCAATCGGTATTCCACGCCGTTCTTCTCGCAGCCAATGGGCACTTCGACGTACGAGTTGAAGGCCGTGTCCTCTTTGCACAGGCGGACCAGCTTGGAGGTGTAGACTTGCTCCTTAGTGGTGGAGCCCGGTGGAGAAATCATCTCGGGCTGGAGGGTCAGAAAGTAGACGAAATTACCACTGCTGAAGCCATAGATGTAGTATATGTCGAAGTCAGGGATGATGGTGAACGTATCCGACGGGATCTTGATCATGGAGGCCACAAACTCATCGTGGAAAACGTAAGCAAACATCCCTTCTGCCTCAGAGTTCTTGGGTAGCTTTCTGCTAGAAATGGTGGGGAAGTACTCTGGCTTGCCATCCACTGCGGTAGCAATGAAGAGCTTGTCATCCATGTTGTTGTAAGAGACTATCACCCCAAAAACAGAGCCACTCTCATTCACCCCGGAGAGGTAGTGTTCCTTGTTGTGGAAGGGCTCTCCGAGCTTAAACAGGTCGTCCAACCTCAAGAGTTTGCAGATGCCCTGGTACAGGCTTCCACAAGCAATCAGCCTGTTCTCCTTGTAGTCTATGAGGAGCATCTTGTTGATGTTGTTTGTGGACTTCAAGGGTTCGTTGCAAGGCTGGACCAGTTTGGGAGGGTAGCACTTTGGGTTGTCGCTATCCGGGCCCGTCTGGTGAAACGTGAGCATCTCCAGATCGCTGGAGAGTTTGTAGATCCAATTGACGGCCCCCAGGTAGATGTTGCCTCTCCTCTCGTCCACCACCAAGTGGTTGAAAAGCACGTCCGCCGTTTCCACAGTGAAGGTGAGGAAAGGTCTCTTTGGGTTGGAAGGCTGCTGCCTCGTGGTGGAAGGCAGCATCACGGCGCAGGGAAGGAGGTGCAAGACGAGGCAAGTCCACCTCCACGTGTCTCCCGACATGGTTACAAAAAAAAGAGTTTTGTATTCCTAGAGCGGCAGGAAGTGATGTTAGAGGTGTGAGCGTTGTCAAAGTGCCGACCCTCCGGTGGAGATTATCCTAAGGGGAAAAGGGGTGGGGGAGAGAGAGGGAGGGAGAAAGAAACATTATTGAGAAGCATGTCCCCAACCTCCCTACTTCAAAAACCATGCCATCATCAGAGAAAGCTTCTTTAATTGCTAATCCTCGCCTTTTCATCTCCGCAGCAAGGCTGGCACAAAGGGAGCCCCCTCAAACGATGAGATGCCAAGGCAGAATAAGCAAGCAGCCAGGCTCGTTGTCAAAACAGCAGAGAATATACTAGGAGGGCGAGAGAAGCAGGCGGAGGTTCAGATTAAACAAAGCGCCTTTCAGGGCAGCAGCCTAGTACCATGAAGAGTACTCATGGTACTATTTAGGTGTTAAAGGTAAAGGTACTCCTGACAATTAGTCCAGTTGCAAACGACTCTAGGGTTGCGGCGCTCATCTCGCTTTACAGGCCAAGGGAGCTGGAGCCCGTCTGCTTTCACAGACAGTATTTCTGGGTCATGTGGCCAGCATGACTAAGCCGCTACTGCTGAAGTCAGAGCAGTGCACAGAAATTCCGTTTACCTTCCCACCGGAGTGGTACCTATTCATCTACTTGCACTGAGTGCTTTCGAACTGCTAGGTTGGCAGGAGCTGGGACGGAACAACGGGAGCTCATCCTGTCATGGCACAGTGATTTAACCCACAGTGTTAAGCAGGTGCAAATCCTCCAGCCATAAGCCATAGTTGTCCCATCTCCTGGTGCCACCCCACCTAGATGTGGTCCTCAGAGCTCCGCCACCACCATCACCTGTGCCAATCAGCTCCAGAAACCCAAACTCCTCCCACCTGATCTCCACCTGCCTTGAGCCATGCTCCTCTAGCTGCACTTTTACATGAAAGTGTGCAGAATGACTCTAAAAGTGTTAAGTAAGAAAGATGACCCAGTTATACTTGGGCAAATCCGGGAAGAGGGTCGCCATATCAAATCGCACGCACACATGTGCAGAAAAGCCTGCCAGAGCTAACCACTGGCTGTGTCCTGTATGCCTGTATTTATTTATTTGATTAATTTTCATTTCATTTGTAATTAAAAATAACAACAATCCACAAAGCTGTTTGCAAAAAGGGTAAAACAAAATAAGAATTAAAAGTGGTTAAATAGCTGGTTAAAGAGTTTGAACAACAATTAAAATCAGCAATAAGCTAAACATGGGTTGAAAGATGCTACATATCTGTCTAGGTGTGTCAAAGCAAAAAAGAATACAGTGGTACCTCGGGTTACAGATGCTTCAGGTTACAGACTCCACTAACCCAGAAATAGTACCTTGGGTTAAGGACTTTGCTTCAGGATGAGAACAGAAATCATGCCCCAGCAGCGCGGCAGCAGCTGGAGGCCCCATTAGCTAAAGTGGTGCTTCAGGTTAAGAACAGTTTCAGGTTAAGAATGGACCTCCAGAACGAATTAAGTACTTAACCCGAGGTACCACTGTACAGCAAAGGGGCGTCAACAGGCCTGATGTCAACAGCCAGGGAGTTCCAAAGTTTGGGTGCTGCCACACAGAAAGATTGATTTGTTATAAATGTGGGATGAGTGTGTACGTCACTGAGAGTGCACCCCCCCAAAAAGTGTGAAGAATCACGGTTCCCTATTTATTGCACACCTATTATACAAACACTTGTGGCATCCATACTTTCTCAAGCCTTCCAATGCAAATGCGTGATCAGCTCTCAGGAAGCAGCCATGCCTTCACAAACATAACTTGGAAATATTCCTTTCCTTCCTTTTTACTCATCGCTGCACCCACACAATTCTAATAATAGTAAAGATCCCCATTCAAGTGAATGCGGAGTATTGAGTGACTGGGCTTTGCACAGGCAGGGAGAAGCGACGCAAAGGCACCACGAGGTACCTGAGATATAGCGCACCTTCAGAGCAATTGGATCACATTCACCATATGCCCAGCGCCATCCATGGAGCAACAGGTGGCTCAGGATCCGGCTCCCCAAAGCAAGTCATCAGGTATTTGCTGAACGAGGAGAACCTGCCAAGCTCTCTTGCTGAGTCTCCAGCACAGCATCTCCCAAAATGCAGAGACAAAGAATTGTAGCGCCTCCAAAACGCTCGTGGCTCATATCCGAGTACAGGGAAATTACAGCGCCTCCGTCAAAAAAAGAAAACAAAACAGCTAATGTGATAGCAATACCCAGCCTATCATCACACGCCGCTCCGAAGAGACTGATTAAAAACAAACACCAAGGAAACAAAAGATAAAGAGCGAGGCAGAATGAGGCCGGAGGCTTCCGGATTCTGCCGCTTTGTTTATTTCCAGACAAAACTCAAGCCAGCTTTCTACAGCAGCTTTGAAACGACAGCAAAGAGGATGCTTGTAGGAAGACAGGAAAACAGAGGTGGCATTAGGTGTGTGTGGAACCACAAAGAGAAATGTCACCTTTAGTATCGAGGGCCGGCCAGACCATTAGCCTCGCTGAGGCAGCCGCCTCAGGCGGCAAGTTGGGGAGAGCTGGAAAGGAAAGAGCAGGGCGTTCTCGTGTGTTTTTGCCTTTCCTTCTGCTGCAAATGCCGCAACGCGAAGGTCTCACCGCCACCAGCCTGGGCAGAGTTCAGGGCCTGCCAGCTTCTCAGACTGCCTCCAGTCACCTCAGGTTGTGGCTATCATAAAACTACACTCTGCTCCATAACCCTTTGCGATTACAGCAGCCAGCAAAACGTCACCTAAACAGATGTTGGAAGCGAATCCGGGTGTTTCTCCTTGGACAGAAGATCCCAGGTAATTTTATGTTGTGAGCCACCCTGAGATCTACGGGTATAGGGCAGTATACAAATTTAATAAACAACATAAATAAATAAATAAATAAATAAATAAATAAATAAATATCCCCTGAATCTTATACTGTAAACCGCCCTCTGATCCTCGGATGAAGGGCAGTATATAAATTTAATAAATGAATGAAATAAATAAACCTCCATGGCAGGCTAGGAGAGAACCCTGCCTGAAACCTTGGAGAGCTACTGCCGGCCAGTGTAGGCAATATGAAGCTAGATGGATGCAGAGTCTGACAGGCAGCTCCCAGTGTTCACATGAGTGAGGCCAAAGAGAGTTTCAGTATGAAAACTTTCCAGCGGGGTTCTGCCAACCACTAAGGTTATCGCCAGTTGCCACCTAAAGCAAAATCTGTTGTGGTTTTTGAAAGGTCCGTCCCCAGGCAAAACTGCTAACACCTGGTATGGTTTTGAACGTCCCTACCTGCAAAAACAGGGACTTCTCTATGGGACACTTAGGGACATGGGTGGCGCTGTGGGTTAAACCAGAGAGCCCAGGACTTGCCGATCAGAAGGTTGGCGGTTCGAATCCCCGCGACGGGGTGAGCTCCCATTGCTCGGTCCCTGCTCCTGCCAACCTAGCAGTTTGAAAGCACGTCAAAGTGCAAGTAGATAAATAGGTACCGCTCCGGCGGTAAGGTAAATGGCGTTTCCGTGCGCTGCTCTGGTTCGCCAGAAGCGGCTTAGTCATGCTGGCCACATGACCCGGAAGCTGTATGCCGGCTCCCTCGGCAGGTAAAGCGAGATGAGCGCCGCAACCCCAGAGTCGTCCACAACTGGACCTAATGGTCAGGGGTCCCTTTACCTTTTTACCTGCAAAAACACAGGCAGAGGGCACTGGGATGGATCTGCTGTGAGATTTCAAAGACGTGTGTGGTGCGCTTCTCAAAACGCCGGGGAGCGTACTGTCTCGGGGTGCCCTTGAGCAAACATCGCAAGCGAGGCCACAGCAGCCGGGATGCGTGCTTTGCTGAATTCTCGTGCTGCAAAGCACATCCCATCTCCCAAGCCGCTTGGAGCTCTTTAAAGCAAAGGGCTGAGGCGCTCGGAGGAAGCAGCCAGCTGTGAGCTTTTTATTGGTCACGTTTGAACTGGCTGGGTAACCGCACAACGCTGATTAAATACCCCGAAGTCATGCGCCGCACTGTAGCAGACACAGCAAGAAATCTAGCCTGGCACTCTTCCCATGCTCCCTTGGTGGTGGTTGTGTGTTGTTGTTTTTCACCCTCTCAGGAATAATTCTCAGGGCCTTGGCTCTCGCTGTGGTAAATCTGCGCCTAGGCTGTCCCATTTGAGGCTGCAGTAGAGGCCTCACAAGACTGAGGCAGATCCCCATAAGCAGAATAACTTCCGCAACGAAATAATAATAATAAGTTCCGGCAAGTTCCGGATGAAAAAAAGCCCTGTGTGGAGGGAATTCGTATGTATGGAGGAATGTTTCAGTCAAAACATCTTTCGGTCTCAGGTGGTGTGGCCCAAACGACACGTTTGCCACCTTAGCGAGAATTGTTGGGGTTTCCGGACAAATTTCAAAAATAAACCACTTCTTCAAGCAGTGCTTAGTTTAACTATGGAAGAGAAGGAAGCCTCCATACTAGATGGCTTTAAAAGATGATTAGGCAGATTCCTGAAGGAGAGGGCCATCGATGGCTACTAGCCCAAATGGCTTTGCTGTGCCTCTACAGGGAAGCAGCTAGTATTCTGAATATTTATATTGTTCTCAAGTTGTTAACCAAGCCTCTCAGATGTGTGGCAGTTGCTGAGTCGCGAAGGGAGCACTCTGTGCATGATTTTTTATTTTTTTTACCTCACGAGGGCCAAAACTGAGACCAAACACAGGTTTGCTATCTGAGAAAGAAGTAGGCCTCACTGGTACACAGCCCCAAATAGGCAGGCGCTATCTTTACCTCCTAGCTCTTCTTGCTCAGAATCTATAATATAAATTATAGTGCTGTATAATTAAGATGCCTCTGTGGGGAGGCTGTTCCACAACTGGGGCCACCACAGAGGAGGCCGTCTTCCCAGGCTGTCACCCCTGAGCCACTGAGGGTGCAGGAACTGCCAAGAGGGCTTCTTCTGCCTATCTCAGCACCCAAAAAGGTCTGTAGGGAA